TAAATGGGTCACGACAAACTTTAAAAGCAACCGATAAAGAAACATGAACAAAATACAAAAGAAAACAAATAGCATATGACGTTCAATCGACCAAACACGTCTAAAGGGTTTGTCGCCATTTTATTCTTTTGTCTCTTTGTATTGTGTGCCTGTGCAGTGGTTTATTTTTAACTGTCTGTCTGAAGAAAGCATTTATTTATGCTTTATTCTATTTATTTACAGAAAATCAATAATCCAAATTCCGTCGATTTAGGTGTCGCTGCGTTACTTAAAGTTCACCTAGTTATCCTCCTTTTATCTCAGTTGGACATCAGTATTAAAACCTAAAACCATTGTGACCATTTCTGTGATCCACAGATGTGTAATTCTAATGAATCAGTATTCAAATAGTGTTGTATTCATGGAAAATAGAAGCAGTCAATTTGTGACGAATAATGACGAAAACATACATGTAACACTTCCACCAGAGCTCACTCGTATGTCTTTCGTTTTTCCGACCTCCATGAAGGCAGCAGAAGCTCCTCCTCCCGGTAGTCCGAGCGGGAAGTTCGTTCTGCTTCGGTGTGACGGAAAAACACAGAAGACTCTGGTGTTCATTTTGTCCAAAGTCACTTTCTATCCCTTCGACCGACTGTGTTTACATGTACGACGTTGGGCCACATTATTTAACTAATGTAGCTTCACCGAGTAAAGCGAGGCCGGTTTGCTCTGGTATGAGCACGCTAGTCGTTAGCTTCTCTAATGAACCATTCCTTGGAGCAGTCCAGCTTTAAGGGCATTTTTTTAGGGGGGCATACAGTAACAAGGCTTTTTTGAGGGCAGTGTTTGAGTTTTCAGTGACTGAAGGACACTGCTAGCAGACATGTCCAGCGAGGAGGTTAACACCCCCCCACCCAGGAGCTTCGGACAGGTAGGTGGCTGTCAGGAGGGCAGAGAAACGCCCTCCTGCTACACTTGTATAAAACCTCGTTTGACTCGTTTGTCAACGGAACGGCAAAGAATTCAGCAGATATGAAATCATTTGTAGCACGTGGTACTTGCAGGTGAAAACCAGCGTTATGCAGACAGAGGAAAGGTCTCTTTAATGAGCCACCTTTGAAGTACTGAGGTGGAACTAGCCAGTGCCTCTTTTTGTGTTGTCTTCGTTTTGCCCACAGTGCACCTACACAGCAGAGGAGTACCAGGCCGTGCACAATGCCCTGCGAAAGAGGCTGGGACCAGAGTACATCAGTACCAGAATGGCAGGAGGAGGACAAAAGGCAAGCCTTTGTTTAAGTTCCCGGAGAACGTTAAAGGCCCCTCTGTGCCCTCTGACGGCACACAGAAGACGTGTCCGGCACAAATAGCTGCACAGATCCAGTTATTTCTTTGCGATCCTGGTCCGCGGCCACGAAAAAGCCTCTGATTTCTTCCAACAGGTGTGTTACATCGAAGGGCACCGCGTGGTCAGCCTGGCCAACGAGATGTTCGGGTACAACGGCTGGTCCCACTCCATCTCCCAGCAGAACGTCGGTACGACTGGGCGGGCGTGAGGATTCAGGTGTAGCTCCGCAGAGTAACACAAACACGCTGGCTTCCTCTGTTTCCAGACTTCGTGGACCTCGTCAACGGGAAGTTCTACGTGGGAGTCAGCGCCTTCGTCAAAGTGCAGCTCAAGGTTAAATTAACTTATTTTAAAGGTCTGACTGATGATATGAAGGTTTATTTGTCATCGCGCTTCTTTAAGTTCTGAGTCCCACGAGCCTCTGCTTCCCATTGCAACCAGATGAGCTTACGTTTTTCTGTCCAGGACGGGGCGTACCACGAGGACGTCGGGTATGGAGTCAGCGAGGGGCTGAAGTCCAAAGCTCTGTCTCTGGAAAAGGCGAGAAAGGAAGCTGTCACCGACGGCATGAAGAGAGCGCTGAAGTAAAGGAGGTTGCTTATTAGAAGGTCCTTTTTTTGTTCATGTAAATGGCTGGAAATTTGTAAACTCTCCTGTGTTTTTTTCCTGTCATGTTGAGATGTTTCGGAAATGTCCTTGGAAACTGTATCCTGGATAAAGAATACCTTCTGGCTATCAACAAAATCCCCAAAAAGGTCAGAAGTGGCACTTAAAGGATAACCTTTCAAACTTTTTGATAATTCAACCCACTCATTGCCCTGAAACCTTCCCCCTCTGCACAAAGCCGCTTCCTCCTGTGGACCCGGCCCACACCAAGCGTTCCGAGGGAGAGCCTTCAGTGGAGAAGGCTCGGCTCAGCAGTCTGGTCCGAGAAGAAAGCCCTGCGGCTGCTTCTAGCAGGATGCCTCTGGAGCCTCGAGTGCTCAACCGGAACGGGGAGCCCTCAGCGGTGCACACCCCCCACGCTGCCGGCTCAGCCCCCAGCAGACGAAGCGAGAACCTCTGGTACGAACGCTCCGGTTCCCGTCTCACCTCGGTGCCTTCGCCTCCTCTTTGCGCTCAATTTGCCTCTCCTTCCTCTCAGCTCGGCCTTGGACTCTGTGGATGCTGGCGGTAGTGAAGCGCACTCGGACCCCAAACAGCTGCGGAAACTGCGGCAGCAGCAGCTCCAGCAGAAGTTCAGGAGAGAGATGGAGGCCAAAAAGCAGCTGCAGAACAGGGACCCGGCAAAGCCAGAGGAGGGGGAGGTCGCCATCGGACAGATGTCCCCGGGAGGAACAGGTCCCTGCTTCCTGTTACAGAGTGCTCATCGTTATCTGTTTACCACAGAAGAAAAGCTAAGCCCTGAATTCCACGAAGAACATCTGTTGATGCTGTGCAAAAATAGAAAAAAAGTAGTGTCATTAAGCTTCAATCAGACTTCATGTTTTCTCAGAGTTTCATCTGATTAGGCATCCGGTTTGTTTCCGCTCCTGTAGGTCACGGCGGCGTTCCGGTGACCAGTGAAGGCGCCACCGCTGGGACCAAGTTCGGCACCTGTTTAACAGGTTCTGGAAACCTCCACCAGACGGCAGCAGACGCTGTGGCCGGGCCAGGCCTCTTAGTTTCTGACCTCTGCCTCCACAGACGATCCTGAGCTGTGGGATTTCACGCTGGATGGGATTGAGGAGCTGGACGTTCCCTCCCTCGGCCCCGGTCCCAGAGGGCTGCGGCCCGGCACCCCCGGGAACCACCAGATGCAGACGCGTAGCAAGACGCCGCAGAGAGCCCCGAACGGGCCCGCCGAGGCGCACCAGCAGGCTCATTCCAGACCACAGCACCACCCCCACCATCAGGGCGGAGCAGGTGAGCCCAAAAGCAGCGCCCGAGTGAGCCGGCCCGCCCGAAATCTGCAGCCTCCAGTCATTTGTGCTTTTCCACCTTCAGGTGAAGCCCTCAGTCCGTACAGATCGGGACAGCACATGAAGAAGCGCAGACTGGACACTTAGCGGTGCTAATCCAGCTGTGATCCAGCTGCAGAGTCCTGCTCATGGATTTAGTCTGTTTGGTTCACTTTGGACTGAGCTACTGTCAAAAGTACAAAAATAGCTCTTGTTGCAGTTTTATAACTTTCATTTAAAATGTTACTGTGATGTTTTTGTTTATTTGGACCAAGAGATGGGTCACCGTTTAAATTAAACTCCAGCTCTTTTAAATTAAACGCAGCTTCAAGCTAAAATAACAAAAGCGACAAACGGCATCTGTAATTTATATGTTTTTTTTATTTGTTTTTACATTTTGTACAATGTGAAAAAACAGACACAAAACAGACACTGAATCACAGAAAGTCAGTAAGGAGGGATCAGAAATGGCCTCTGTCAGTGGCCTCTGACTGCTGTATGGAGAGGTTGCTGTGATGACTACGGACAGGAGCACATGGACCTTTGACTGTGAGCGTGTGCTGTACAGTGGCCAGTTGGTTTTCATTTGCAGGATTTAACAGAGAAGCAGGCATGCAAAATCCATACGCTGATAAACTAATGCTGAAGCTGAGTCTGGGATGCTATCAGAAAAGCATAAGATAACAGAATCTATTTTTCTAATATCAAAAACATTGAAGTTGGTAACAACCTTCGTCAGCATGCGCACGTTTCCAACACCCCTCAGTTACTAGAAACTTAAAGGTTTGCATATTCTGCATTGCAGTAACTATTTTTCATTTCTCTAGAGAAGTTAATCTACAAGCAGGCGATAGTCACAACAACAGCGTGGCACTCCTGTGAGGTGGTGACAACAGCTGAGTCAGCATGCCGACTTTCAAACCTTTGTACAGCTCACTCGCTGCCCCAACAAGTCGCCATGGAACTGTTTACTAGTAAATCCACGAAAACAAATGTCAGCAAAATCCAGGTTCACATGAGCCAAGTATAAATACACAGCTGGTTACACAACCACACGACGGTAAAGTGGAGAGAGAAAGGAAACAAAGTGTGCTATTGGTTCTGGTCCTGCGCGTGGAGTCCGTCTCTGCTGTGACATGCTCTGAGATGGTTGTGTGTGTGTGTGTGTGTGTGTGTGTGTGTGTGTGTGTGGTGGCGGCGTGCACTGGTTTAAGTCCCGCAGTTGCAGGATGACATGAATCCGAAACCGGCTATTAGTGAGGATGCAAGGCACTAAAGTGTTTGTCGAGTTTACAGGTTAGAGTGCGTGTGCATTTCGAGTGGGTCACCACAAGCATACTCTAGTGATGGGAGAATCATGTCAAAGCATTTACCTCACTTTAGCATATATACAATAAAATAGAAAAACAGGGGCAGGGCAGTCGGACAGAAGAGCTTAATAAACTGCAGGATTAACCCTGCATGCTGAGTAGGATACCAATAACAACAACCCTGCAATTGCACTTCTTATATTTCTTTAACTACATGTTGTTTAACAACCTTTAATAATAATTACAGTGAAACAACATCAAAATCTGATGGCTGAATACAGGTCCATTAAGAACATTGTTGTATTAAATATACGCATACAAAAACAGACCACAGACAGACAACCCCGGACACTTCCGATGTGAGAGGTCACAGTTAAACGATATGAGTGGAAATATTTTTTGATTTACATGACGTTGCTAGCTGACGGTTTCCCCTCCGAGCTGAGAAAACACTGTGTGCACAGCTATCTAGAGTAGGAATGCCTCCCACAGACTGAAACTTTTAAATACTACCCTAAAAGAGATTTTGTAGGATATGATACAGGCTCTGCACAGTTCACATCTCATAGCCGAGCACAAAGTAAAGTGGTCTCATGGGGGGGGGGGGAGCTTAACACTGTTCACACTCATATTGTGACTTCCAGCAGCGGCATCGCCTCGTTTCAAACCGAGCGGTGGTCAACACCAGGACGACGCTTTTACTAGTGGCAGATCCACTGGCTTTTAGGTCAGTTGTGAAGAATAAATCAGAATAACTCATTTATATAAACGGAAAAAAAAAAAGCTCAAATCACATTGATGGCGGACTCACAGAGGTGGAAAAATGTTGAACATAGTATCCTACCGAGTGAGGAGATCTCTATGTACAAAGCCAATGTTTAAATGGGAATTAAGGCCACAGTTACATGGGTCAGTTCCTCTCCTTCATTATTGCATTGTACTACAGCCCCGTCCTTTATCCCGACTAACTTACCATGTCCTTCCTCTGCTAACTCTACGAGCCATTTTACTTTCCCCGCTGGAACCAACTCCTCGTCCCACAGTCTACTTTCTGTACACTCTCTCTCCTACGCTCACTGACAACTTTCCAGCTACGGTGATTCAACCAGGCTAAAGATAAGTCAGATGTTTATGTACACGTGTGGCCTGTCAGTTTCAACGGTTTCTACTCCCATCTTGGTTTGAGTCCTGACCAGTAAGGATATGAACAAGCCCTCCTCTACCGTCTCCCCCTCGAAGGAATGACAATATTGCAACGTCTGCTCACAAAAGACACATTTGGCTGCGGTTGATTACGCCTCGGGGTCGCACCGTCCTGACTGGTCACAGCTCCTTTCCACAGCTAATGGGCAGGCTAAACGTGAGACTTTTGTGCTGTGGATGTCTATTGCACTCTCCCGCCAACTGCTAGACAGATTTCATTTTGCCTGAGAGGACGCAAACCACTCGGGTCAACTCTTCACAGATATAATGCGTAAAGGTAAAAGGTGAAATAAAAATGACAATTCAAAGCCAGCAAACTGTAAAGAGAGGCTGCGGTTCTCCATCAACGGCTGCCTGTTCCCCTCTGCCCGGATGGGCCGTTCCTGTAAAGCCTGGAGCAGAGCTGTCTCTGGGCTACGTAGGCCTGGAGCTGGAGCCCCCAGGGACAGACTTCTGGTTGGCCGGTGCTGCTCCCATGTGGTAGCCTTGGATGGGTACCGAAGCGGTTGTGGGTGGCTGGTACTGTTTTAGTGGCTGTGCCGGGTTGTGCAGGCTGACCTGGGGTGTACCTGTGGGTCCTGCCCACTGGGGAGCACTGTAAGGGGTTGAGGCATAGCCATACCCGGGGACAGCGGGGCCCAGAGAGCCCTTACGAGAACCCACGGCGGCCGAAGGGTTGGTGGGGTTGGGGAGGTGAGCGGAGGACGTGGATGTGCTGTTGGACGGTGTGGGCGGTGCTGGGCAGAGGTAGCCTGGCGCCGAGAATTTTCTGCCCATGTTCGCTGGAGGGATTATCTGCATGAAATATAAAAGAAAAAGGTTTACCTCTGAGTGTGATTTTTATCCCAGAAGCATAATCCTGAAAAACAGACTAAATATCAAAAGTACAATGAAAGCCTACATCGTGTCCGAGAGTTGCCTGGGCGCCACTTTTCGAGCCCCTCTTGCACTGGGAGAGGTTGATGGCATCTCTGGCCCAGTTGTCCACCAGCTGGTGCAGGTCGTCGGTGAAGGTGCCCTTGCCTTTCTGGTTTTGGGAGGCAGAAGGAGCGGTGGGCTGGGACGAGGACGCAGACAGGTTGTGGAGGTTCCCTGAACCGTTTGTGGAGCTGCTCCCACTTGTTGCTGGAAATACAGGTAAGATGAGAATCTCTTCATGTGCACAACTTAAAAAAAATAAATAATTTTTTTATGAAATGAACTGCAAAAGATAAAGCTGAAGGAGCAGCTACCGGTGGAACAGCTGCTCAGGTTGGGCATGGATGGGGACATGGTGAGCTGCTGGGCTGACGTCCTGCCCACAGCAGCTTCCCCCGCCTCTGTCGCAGAGAGTGAACTTTGCTTTGGAGAGCAGTGGGATCCCTGACTCTGAGCTGAGGATCAATGGTATGATCAGAATACACCATGGAGTTAATGTTTGAAAGGGGATGTCTGGACAAACATACGGATCAAACAAGGTTTGTGTAACTGATGTCAAAGTAAAATAAGGCTGCCGTCCCACACCCTGTCCTGACCTGAGTGAACGGGACTGGGCTGGCCACTGCCACGGGACTTCTGGCTTTTGCTCTTAAGCCGACGTCGCCCTCCAGCCATGGCCACAGCGGGGGAGAAGACGGACTGAGGGACGGGTTTCCCCATTCGTGTGTAGAGAGCTTCTATCTCCTCTTTCTGACGACTTTGCAAGGCCTGAATCTCCACCATATGTCTGAAAGAGCAAAGGTGTGAAACTAAATAAACATGCTTCTTTAGAGGTGTCCAGTAAAAACAATGTGCATAACTAAATGTGATCGGTCATTATACTTTTCTCTCAAATGATTGATCTCTTTCTGGAGGGCTTCATCTTCAGTCTCTGAGTCATCGTCATTGTCACTGCTGTAATGGGTGTGTGTGCTGTGAGGGTCGGAGGTTGAGGATGAGGGTCCATTCTGCATACCATCTTGGGATGTTCTGGAACTTGCCTCTGGTGCAGGGGTCACTGCAGGAAACAATCAAGCATTTACTGTAGTAGAGATTTAAGTGGTGGTCAGCACCATCGCCTCACAGCAAGAGGGTTCTGGGTTTGACTCCCTGGGGGACCCAGGACCTTTCTGTGTGGAGTTTTGCATGTTCCAAAAACCTGCATGTTAGGATGATTGGACATTCCAAATTGCCCTTAGGAGTGAGTGTGAGTGTGTTGTTGTTTGTCTTTGTGTGTCTATATTTGTGGGCCTGCGATGGACTACTGGACCGTCCAGGGTGTACCCCGCCTCTTGCCCACTGACTACTGTGTTAGGCTCCAGTTCCCCCATGACCCCATTTGGGAATAAGCGGTTCAGAAAATAGATTGATGGATAAAAAAATTTAAAAAACAGTACTCCTCTCTTTTGGTGCATTCAAAGATAGATAGGAAATCAGAATTCCCAACACCTGACAGGTAAAGCATTAAGTAATGCTTATTAGAACTCAGATTTTCTTTTGGGGGAATAAAACATGAAAGTAAGTCAACATAGTTGCAACAGTTTTGCCTTAATTTATGTAATAAACTTCACACTTCTGCAACATCAGCTGAAGCTGAAATTAAGTGGAGAAGCACAGGGCGGAGGCTGGATGACTGACTGCGAAGACAGTTTAAAGCATCAGATTCGAGGGCGACTGACAGTGGGCGGCAGTATCAACACTACATTGGGAGGAGATTCTTGCACACTAACTTATAGGAACTAGCACCTGCCCATTTGTTCTGTGCCGGCCGCTTACCCGTGACTGAAAATCGGCCCACTTTGGAGCTGGCAGTTGGCTCAGATGAGGCGCTGCTCTTGACCACTTGAAAGCGTCCGATGGTTGTGGGCTGGCTGATCGAACCAGCACACGAGGCCCCGTCAGTTTGGAAAGCTCCCTTGGGGAGAGGGCAGGAGCGGTGGAGGGTATTCTCTGGACTTGAGGGCGAGGAGGAGGACGTGGATGAAGAGGAGGAGGAAGACGAGGATGGTGTGAGGGAAGAAGAAGAAACAACACTGGACGGATCTGGAGCATTGCTGGATGCGCCTTCAGGTGCCACAGAGACCTGTAGAAATGCAAAAGGATCGTTACAAAAGAGGTTTAACTAATACAGACCACATAAGCAAAGTCAAGTGAAGGTGGGACCTGAACTCACCTGGAAACGTCCAAGAGTGAAACCTGCAGCTGGAGGCTGAGCTGTGTCCCCCCCCTGGACAGTCTCTGGACTCAGAGCTCTATTTGACTGGGCCTCAAAGTTCCCCCGGGGCGGCTGCAACTGAGTCACACAAACAGGATATAAGAAGCGTGGACCCTAAATCCACCGATTGTGACAAGTTTTCCATTTATTTCTTGTTTGGAAACACTCAAAAGAAACATAACAAAGGATCCTGAACATACTTTGTCAACGGCACAAATATATATTAAAAAAGAAATGACTTGACTCGTACACACGTTACAGACCACAAAGCTCAGAAAGTTAACAGAGGACTGATCCTTTATCACATGATCCAACCAGAGAAAAGAAGATGGGGGCAGGAAATTAGACTGCAAAGGCAATGTTTTCTCACCTGATGTGGTCCAGGAAAAGGGGGAACCACTTCAGAAGGAGGTGTAGCAGCCTGATCAAAACCAGTGGGTAAAGTCTGGAAAAAACAGAATAATGTTAACATACATTATCCTGGCAAACTGCAGACCTGGTTCATATTTAGGTTTGGACCCTTTTACAGACCTGCGCCCTGGGCTTAGACGGGGGGGTCTGGGCATGTCCTCCTGGTGTACTTGTAGCGCCCAGAACCCCTGGTACACCAGAAGTCAGAGGAAGGTTAGATGGGGGAACCATGGTGGTCCCAGGAGGAGGAGAGGAGGTTCCAGTGGGGGGAGAGGAGGTTCCCGTGTTCTGACTGGGATCCATTGATGCAGAAGAGGTGGAGCTCATGTCTTTAAAGAGTGATCGCAGCTTCATATCTAGAGTTTGGATGTCATCTCTTCCAGCTGTTTTAGATTGCAGCTCCGCCCCCTCTGAATCCACTGGCTGTGAATGACCCTGGGTTTGACCGGGTAACGAGGTGGGAGGTGGGTGCTGAGCATGGACTGACGTGCTTACAGGCTGAGAAGCTGTAACAGAGCTAAAAGACTGTGGCTCTGAAGCAGGAACATTTCCAACACTGACGGATGTCCCAGCAGCAGAGGAGGCAGACGTGCTGCTTGGCTGAGAGCCGGGCGCTGCTGGGACAGAGGTCTGAGTGGAAGGAGGTGAAACAGAGGAGGATGGAGGGACACTAGCGACTGGCGGAGACTGCGAGTGACCCATTTCATGGGTGGATTGGGAGGGTGGACTTTGGTCACTGACAGCAGTTTGAGACTGAACCGATACGGGTGGAGGCGAAACCCTTCCAGCTGGAAGAGGAGGTGAGGAAGCTGCGCCGCATGTGATCGAGACAGAAGCCCCAGTGTCTGGAGTAGACAGGATATTCTTAGAGTTTAGGCCAGCCTCACTGGATGGGATGGTGCCCGGTTCGTGCTCAGCAGAGGGGAGATCAAGAGTGTTGCTTCTGTCAACGCGTTCCAGTCTCATTTTATGAAAAGCCTGCTGGAGAGTCCCAGATGGAGCAGACAGAGAAAGACCCAAAGGCGCTAAAAGGTAAAAAGGAAAACAAAATGGATGAACCTTCGTACAGAAACTGGGGCTTATTGATGAAAGGTGAAAAACAAAATGTTTCTCTCACCAGCAGGTTCATCTCCAAAGGATTGATTAGAAGATGACTCTCCAAAGAACTGTTCTTTAAGGCGAGACTCTGGCACTGGGCTGACTATAAACCTCCGTCCAGCCGAATGAACCACCTGAGCAGCAGTGCTGGGGGATATACCTGAGAAAAAGTATTTCAGAGGTGATCAACTGGAACCAGCACACTGTATGACAATGCAAATCTCTAATTTGTCTTACCTGGCACCATGGGAACAGTGAGCTCAGGCTGCTGCTGGAGGTCACCAATCTGGAGGTTACAGGCAAAATCATTTTAAGGTTCAGCAGAGAAGGGGGAAAACTGCTTTGGGGCATTTAATATTGTGATGTGCTGTGAAGCCCCACCTGGGGGAAGCCTTCCTTCATGCCCTGTCCTTTCTCATCTGCCATTTCTATGACCTCGCGGACCTGCTCAATGAAGGACTCGCGCTCACTTTCCAGGATGAACTCACTTTCAACCTGAAAGAGGGAGCAAAAGAAGCAGAGCTATTACAACCCTTTTACCTCTCTACGCTCACCACCATTGGTGGAGGCAGTATAGAGAACTATGAATTGGCTGAATGAGCACAGTTAAAACATGTGAGCACATTTACTAATATTTAAATGTTAAAAGTGAAAACCATACTTTACCATAATCTGTGCTATCTCTTCTGGGTTATCACCATCAAGATCAAATTTAAACGTCACCATCTTCCTGTTGTGCGTTTCCAGCTGGCACTCAGCTACTCTATCCCCCACGTTAGAGATCTGGAAGAGATGGAAGTGAGTTAAAAGTGTTCACTGACAAAGTTTAAGGTGTACCAGTGGAAACATTGGGGTAGATACATACATTGAGAACATTTAGCTTGGCCTTTCCAATCTTATCATGGCGTGAGCGGCTGCGTACAGATCGTCGTTGGTGACGTTTCAGTGAGCGCCCTTCATGGCGACCGCCTGATGTAGAGGTTCCATCATTACCATCACTAAGTCCTGACGCTGCGTCCGACAGACAGCTAGAAGAGATCCAAATATTTATGTATACATATATACATACACACACATATATGTATGTATATCTACTTATATTATCTTACCTATCAACAGTTGGAGGCACCAAGGAAGAGGGTCCTGCTGTCTGGTCGACTGGTGTTGTCTGAGGAATCGACACAGGACCCTGAAACATAGCAATTAGTTAGCCTTAAAAATGTAACCTCATTCAAATGTTATCAAATCTAATTTTCATCTTATCATTGTTAAATGATGTAATGGTTATCCCTGTAAGCCGCTCATGTTTTACTACTTTACGCAAATGGAACTGAGACCTCATTTAGAACGATTAACAACTAAACTGATTTTTAGCAGTTCATCCACCAGGTGGAGTTGTGAGTGTGACAAGACAAATGGTGTCCTTTAAGAAGGCTACATTCAGCTGTGAGATGCAGTCTGGAAAGCAGTTTTCATTTAATTTCCTCCATTATTAAACAAAAGAAATGCATCTGCTGTGCTTATATATTAACAAGGCCACTTTATACAGATTAATTCTCTCCATTTGACTTCTGTTCCTATATGTGGTAGTATGCCGTTTGTTGGCAGTTCAGGAGATTGAAGTTTGGATTATTGTCATAATATGGAAATCTTAGCAGATACTTTACTTTGTATCGGTTTGAATGAAGATGAAACTGCCCCAAATAAGTTAACCTGTTGATTAGTTCTAGTACATGCCATTATATAATATGCTGAATGTACAATCTGTGATACCTTAGCATGGCTAATTTCCTCATTGTGAGGTAGGAGCCACACAATAAGGAAATAGTTTCATAATGCTACAGGCTATTACCCATACACCTGTGTTTAAAGCTCTGTGATGTACCTGCAGAATAGAGAGGCATGAGGCCTGATAGAGGAAGTATAGATGCTCTACGTTGATTGGTGGAGACATGATAGGAGGACTTGGATCATTGGCCCAAGACTAAATCATGCAAGGATAAGCAGCATGCAGAGGAAATGGAAGAGAGAAAAAAAAAAAAGGTACAGACAGGATGGTGAGAGTTGTTATGTTCAAGGAAACAGAGAAAAGACTTACAGAAAAAAGGCTGCATAACATTCAGTAGTAGGGTTGGGTAATTAGGGGAATTCACAAGTTGAAGAATTGCAAATGTAAGAATATGTTGCAAAGCATGATAAAAGAGAGCACAGGCAGGAGATGTTAATGTGTCACCTGCAGCTGCTGGACTCCAGTCTGCGCCTGCGGCAGAGCGCTGCTGCTCTCTGCCTGAAGCTGGGGGAGAGATGACTGAGAACATGGGGGTATTGTGACTTGCTGAGAGGGCTTCTGTACAAACAAAAGATAAAGGAAGGAAAGCAGAGACAACAATACAATTAGAGGGGTGAGAATTTTAAAATAGCAACTGAAAATACAGCCATACTGGTATTAAGGTGACTTCCTAAAGCCAGTTTTTCTTCTGATAAACATCTCTCCAAATATTACTTCACCTCATGCACTTACCTGTAGGATACCAACAAATTAATCTGATTTATTAGTGTGAACTGTAAAGGGGCCACGCTTTGCTCAGTGAAGCCCTAAGGACAACTCTGAAGAGCACCCACACTGAACATTTGTTCTGAGATATTAGAAAACCCTTCTAAGCATTTAATCAGGAAGTAAGGAGAGCCTGCCATACAGACTGATAAGAATCAGTCTATTTTGTTTACTAGAACATGCTATCCTCACAACTGGGTGCATTTAAAAGTTGCAGTGGGAAAACTGGAATTCTATACCTGAGGGGGAGGCGATGGTTGGTAGTAAACTCCGTACTATGGGAAACAAAGCATAGCACAGGGTAAGAGTGGCAAGCTATGGAAAGGAGTTACGTTTTCAAGGGGGAGAAAAAAAGAAAAAGAAAGGAGGATCGAGACAATAATCCTGCCTACACAGCAACCAGTGAACAGTGAATATGGGCTTTAAATATTAAACATGACTTGAACATCAGATGGATTATTTAAGGGATTGAGGTTTAATTCCACTGTGGTGACACAAAACTGTTCTGGGTGGTTTCAGTTTGTTATTTTAATCCATCAGATCCAAATTCAGTGAAACAGTTCATTTCGGATGGTGCAGAATGACTCAGCAAAGAAAGAAATACACTATAGTATCTACCTGTGTAGGTGCCAGTGAAACAGACTGGTTGGAGGATGGAGCAGCTTCAGGCTGGACAACCTGCATTTGAGTAGCACAAAAAATGCTGTCAGAATTACACAAAGATAAAATCTAACTGATATAACTCATTAACAAAGTATTTTAACGGCAGCAAGGAATGCAGAAAATATGCGACTAGATAAAAGACAACTGGCACCTGGAACTCAAACGTAACAGATGTCAAGAGACATGCCAAAAAGGTTTGTGTAAATACACACATAAGAGGAGTTAAAGAAACCTAACAAATAGGATTGGACTGGGTCTTCTTACCAATGACAGCTGGTGCTGCGTCAGATCGTTCTGCGCCTGGGGACAGGACACCTGGGGCTGAAGGTGCTGACTGGTAGGAGAGCTGTAGGATAACCCCAGCTGAGAAGGCAATGCCTCAGGAATGACAGAAGAGCCAGGTGGTCTGTCTCCAACCTCGCAAGCTTAGGGACAGGAAGTTTCAGTAAAAAATCACAACAAAACAGAAAAAAACTGGAATACACAAGTCTTTGGAATCCATGATAGTCATATTTAGCAATAAATGGTTTATGCAGACCTCCAGTATGTTGCAACTGTTGGTCAGCTTCCACGTCCTCAACCTCAGTTTGGATGCCAGTTGTACTCTGAACCTGAACTGGGACTTTCCCAGTTGACTGAGGAACATAAGGAAGCCCCTGTGATATACCACTCAGCTGGGAGGATTGAGGATTGCTGTAGTTAGAGCTCTGGAGGCTCTGCTGAGTTGCTGGCTGGGCACTCATTTGTGTGCTGTGCTGGGTAAGTTGTGGAGGAACAAAAGAGCCAGGCTGTGGCACTGGCTGAGAGTGAGGCATCTCCATGATGGACTGTTGGCCTGGTTGCTGTGTTGGCAGCGACTGGCCCTGCACCTCCTCTTCAAGTCTTCTCTTCTCCTGATCTTCTCTAACCTATGACGCAGTCAGCAAAAAAACATTAAAGTTCCTCAACTATTTATCAAGAAATTGCACACCAGCTTATGTTGAGCGTGGACACACCTGCTGCCGCTGTGCCCTCTTCCGACTAATTAGGGAAACCCTGTCCTTTATGGCCTTTGCAATGGTCTTGTGATCACCTTCGCACACATAACCAGATTCCACCTGAAGCACAAAGACATGACATACATGTCAGCTATTAGGAAGTCAACTGCCATCACCAAATCCTTTCTAGTAGCCAGCACATGTACAGCTGAGCAGAGCTGAAGTTACACCTTAACTGGGCCATTTAACTCCACCACCATCCTCATAATTGCATATCTCTGTGAGAGACCATTAGTCATATAAGTATACTTAACTTCACACACAGATGTTGTCTTTAAGTGACTTGAATGGCAAGTTTATCCAGATGGTAAGACGGTCATAAAAATCAGAATTTTAATGCAGTGGTGCAACAGTCAGAAAATGCCTTCAGCAAGTTAAAATGCTTTCTAAATGGAAATATTTTCAATCACAATTTTTGAAAAACGTTAACGACAGCAGATTTACTGGGAAATTAGCTGCGACAAAATATAATTACACTCTACTGTTTTTACAAAGAGGTGACAAAAGATTAAACTCTGAAGCACTGGTAAAGCACATAAGCCTACTTAAAACTAAATGAACACACATCTGGAGTGGTTTGACCCCAAAAAGTCATCATGTGGGCCTGGTGATTTTGAAGTTCAATTCTGGTGAGCTGAAAATCTTTATAGACATTTGACCGGGTTCCTTTACCATTTCTTGAGCCACATCTTCCGGGACGTCTTTGTTGAGGTCAAAAGAAAACTCGATGGCTTCGTTGTCTTTGTACTTCCCTTTAAGTTTTTTTATATCCTCAATTCTTAGCCACAGCTTGATCGCCTCCATCTCTCCATCATCCTCTTCTGCCAGCTCTACACGCACACCTGTATCCTCCTGGAAGAAGGCATGGTTCAGAAGGTCTTTGATTGAGTACCTGAAACACAGAAGGACACAGTGAGCAAATTACAACATTTTTTACCTGAAAAAAAAAAAGTTAAATGTGCCTCTCTGAAGTTATACACCTCTCATCCTTGTTCTGGCGAATACATCCCTCGATGATCTCCTTGACTTCAGGAATGGCCACCTTGTCGAAGCTACCTGGCTTCACTCCCTATCAGAAACACAAAACTCTAAATGATACTCTTCTCCAATTAATGGTTTTTAGTCTGGATTTTACCTTGTAGTTTTTTTGCAATTATTATTATTATAATTTTTTTAAAGCCTTCAAATCTAAGATCCCTCCCTTACATGTTTAAATATATATTTTTAAATGAGCTCAGAGATTTTTTTACCCCCATGATCTAATTCTTAATGTCAGTTCTCTGCACATTACATTTTGCTGAGTGAAGACCAAACAAGCAAAAGAACAAGAACTGACCAAAACGCACTTTACCTTAAAGTGACTTTAAAGAATGACAATTGTCAAGTTGTGGGGAACAAAAGGCTTACGACTGTGAAGGACAGCTATTGAGGGGGGATGAAGAGAGCAAATAGCAAAAGGAAGGTGTCCAGTGGTGGAAGGAACATGGAACACTGACTGAGAAATAAACAGCTCAACTGAATACCAGAAAATGAATAACGGCCTATTTCCCTGAGGAATACAACAATAACAGAATATGAGACACAACCTCAACACAGGCTCAGGAACCCCTTACATGCTTCGTATTTCAATAGATAATAATCTCACTGTTCAGTCATGTGACAAATTACTAGTATTTGCATTTTGCAGTTACAAAGTAGCTAAAAATGTCGGTACAGATAAAAAGATACGAGACTTTAAAACAGGCTCTACTTCTTTTTATTTAGACACATACCTAGAGGGATATGCATCATAAATGAGAAATGATTTATGTGCTCCACTGTCAACGGCATGAGTAACACAAAAAGTATGAGGTTACTCTCCTGAGTTAACGTCTGTGCAGATAAGATTGAACTTTAAAAAAAAAAAAAAAAAGCAGGACTTTGCCTGTTAAGGCCCTTGTCAACTACCCACATCCATGGCCTACATTGTTAACATGCCTACAGAGTGATTAAAAAGAGAAAAATAAGGATGAAGGAAAGCAAAGGGGGCTGTCAGTGCAAAATAACGCCTTTTCTCTTTGAAGATAGCAGTAAACTGAATGCTGCTCAAGCCGAAGGGATTTCAGCAGGAGTAAAATGATTCCAGGGACACTAGCCTTCTTGACACATACGAGGAGGTGAAGGCATGGCAGAGGCGTGACATGGAGACTTGACAGGAAGACTTACGCTGGTTACTCTGCGGTAGATCTGTGCAGCGTTCTGGCACTCTGAGTACGGGTACTCTGAGGTGGCCATCTCCAGCATGCACATTCCAAAGGCATATACATCCACTGACTCGTCGTACTTCTCCTCATACATCTCAGGCGCCATGAACTCAGGGGTACCTTAAATCAAAACAACTATTCAGAACTCTCGACCTCCCTTACTGATTGAGTGGGCTTCTCATAACCCATTGCCCCTCTGCCCCTCTAACCCATGGGGGGGGTAGAGGAAGGGGAGGATGAGAAGTGTGACCAGTCTGAGGACATCTCCTGGAGTAGAACCTGTGAGGTGAAAGGTGGAAGAGAAAAAGGAAAAAGAAAAAAAAAAGTGGGGGAAGGAAAGCAAAAAAGAGACAGAAAACAAAAAAAGGAGGGGGAATGTGGGCTCAGTTAGATTGCAGAGAAGAAAGCACGTGTTTGTCTGTGTAAGACCCTCACATGTTGAGATATAAAAGTGTGACTGAGGTAGCCAATGTGCAGAACACAATTGCTGGCAGGAATTATCATTTGCAATCCTCAAAGATTAGCCCTAACAAGAGGCATTACAAGTAATCCCCAAACTCCAAAAACCCCAAAATGGAATTTATCAAAAGGCAATGCCAATTTGCCAATCTGAGAGGAAAACACAACTAGCTATGGAAGTAACTTTTTCAAAACCTTCATTACATTACCCTAGGGCCACACTCACCTTTCGGAGTCTGACTTACCGTGTCCTCCTGACCTGCTGGGGGGGGTTATAGTGAAGGCACAGAGGAGTAGATCCCATAGCTAGTTACAGTGCTGAACAGTGTGTCTCTGCACATCAGCTTTGTTGCATCAATTGCTTATTTTAGATTCAATCTCAGGTCTTACACAGAAAAACTCATTTATATATTTGTGATTGTTTTTGATATTGATGTGATTTACAGCACACTGTCAGACTTACCAGGCCCATAAAAGATACTTACTCAATGACCAGCAGTACCCTATTCATTCCAAACAGCAGAATGGGGCACAGCTGAGGCTAGAGCCTACATTTTAAAAACATACCCAAGAATGTGAAAAGAAAAAGAAAACAAACAAACAAAAATAAAGAAAAACAAAGGCAAAAACGCTGACAGAGAGAAAGTGGAGAGAGCTCCCTGGACACAAAGACGGAGTAAAAAGAGACAGCGGCCCTGAAATATTTTAAAAGACAGCAAGAGACGAACACTAGAGAAAAAAAAAACAACCTGTTGAGGCAAACCCATAGAAAGAGATGTTAAACATAATTTGTATAACTGGCAAACAGACCACATATTTCCAAACCACAGAACAAAGACCGATCAAAGACAGAAACAAAGGCCGGACCTATAAGTTTGGCTTAGTTAGCCTCAAAGAAGGCATAACAACTGTCAAAATGATGAGAATTAATAATTACAGGTAGGGGAACAATTAGGCGCTACTTACATTCAGTAGATGCCTGGGAAAAAAAGCCTCGCTTTTTTGGTGAAGCAGAAAACAGAAAATACTCTGTACGTGGACCAAAATTGATTGGAAAGGAAAAAGTGAAAGTCTTGTGGATATCTGAGTAAGATCGCCACAGTATTTGGCCTCCGTTTGAGCTGTGGTTTGAGAGACAGCTGAAACGCTGTGGTCTGTTTTTTAACCACATGGTCAGAAATACACCCTTTTGTAAGACACATTATTCAGAACCATAGAAAGGGTACTGCCCCACAGGGATCAGGAGGCAGAGCTGACAGGATTCATACCTATAACACTCTTGGCAAACGATGCACGCTTGAGCGTAGCCAGTCCCAGGTCTCCAATCTTGACAGACCCTGTTGGGCCAGTGATGAAGATGTTGTCGCATTTGAGGTCTCTGTGGATGATTGGAGGAGCCCGGGTATGAAGGAAGTGGAGTCCTTTCAGGATTTGTCGACACCAGCTACGCAGCACTTTGATTTTCATCACCTTGAATCGCTTTAGGTATCTAGAAGAGAAAAGGGGACACAATTGACACACTGTGAAGCACAGAACAACTAATACTAGTAAATGTTCTCTGCTTGAGTACTTTTTGATATGAAAAAATAAAACAACAATCTTGCATGTTTTGAATTTACCGGTACTAATTATATATCAGGCATTTTAGAACCAAGTAGAACCATGTGTTTTCTGTTCATGTGCCTGTTGTGTTCGCTGATCAATTGGTCGCGTCTGAGACTTACGTTTTGAGTGTACCAGAGGTCATGAGTTCTGTGACCAACACAATGCACTTCTTTCCTTTCGAAGGTCCCTCCCAGGAGTCATAAAAGCGAACAATGTTGGGATGTTGTAGTCCCTTTAACATCCCTGCTTCCTCCTTGAAGCGTTGACGTTCTGTCTTTGACAGTTTACGATCCTACAAGGAACAAAAAGAAAGTTAATAAAACCTAAAGGCCAGCAGTATTTAGAGTAACGGGATGGCACAATGAAGATTACCATTATTCTCCCAATTCAGCACCCACATAGAGTTAATCATTAGACAATGTCTACCAATGACCTACCAAAAATACAGAAATCAAAGACTTCTGCAGTAACACATTGTAAGGATCTTAAGTATGAGGTGTTTTCCACAGCATCAACTGCGAGCTAAAGGGAATGAATGGACCAGTGCCAATCTGAGAATAAAACTGATCAAATAAGGGTAGATCATAATGTCAAAAGAAACTTACAATGTGTTAGTTTGAAAGCCAGTGCTTTCAATCTGTATAAGAGCAGCTGCACCCCTGTGGTACACATTTAGTCAAATGGGGGAATAAGATCTGTTTATGCCTTTGTTTCGTAAAGTGATGGTTACATCGCATTTGAAAAGTCAAACTGTTTTTCATCTGATTCTGAACAAAACCTGCTGAATCTCACAGTGGACAAACAGCTGGAGGCTGTTGGAGAATCAATTAATTATGAATAAATGTAATCAAACCTGATTGTGATGTCTTCCTACATGTACTTCAGATCACACTGAGACCTAAATAATCATCATCATTATTGCCTTTTGTTGAATTCTGTGCACAAACCAAAAAAATCTGGAACATGTGCAACCACCCCTCTCAAGTTCCCTGAGCTAGTATGACCCACATTTAGATCAAGCTGGACTATATAGCAGCTAGCCCACAGCGCTCAGACAAACCCGATGAAACCCTGTAGCTAAGACCCAGCCACATGCCAGGCTGTCCAGGAATTTCAGACCATTTGTGAGAGGAAAATAAACCCTTGACTTTTTGCACTTTAGCAAGAGATACAAGTGATTTTAAGGCACGAGCAACTCAGACTGCTGCAGAAGTTATGGCTATGCCGGGTTTTTTGAGAGAGGAGCCGAAAAATAGAGAAACCGAAACATGTCAGAGGGACGATGTTGGTGACTGAAGAAGGCTCCACTAAACAAATCACATTAAGTCATCTCCTCTGTCTAGTTTGTCCACTCATCCAATGGGCCTGTGATTCCGCTCCCATTTTCTGTGCATCATGTCCAAACAGGCATGCAGAAAATCTACGCAGCACATTCACACAGCCTCAGAGTCCACGGCCCAAAATATGTAACCGAATCCATCTGAACTGGTCTGCCATATGCCTTGAGAGCTAGCTTTAAAACAAATGTTTCCCTTACCAAGTCCAGCTATCTATTCCCAGAACATCTGGAAAGTAGTTATCGATATATTAATTGGTTGGCTTACAAGCTGCATCAACTGTCAGTTACATTAAGCTAACTGGCAGTGGTCGCTGTGTTCTTTGACTTAAGCATAGAAAGAAAAAGGTTGTCCAGAAATGCCTGTATTTTAAACCTTTCTTTTATGTGGCCTCTGTGGTAAGGATCAACTTTGGCCCTTTGTTCGATGCAGAAAAGAGACACGCGAGCAAAATGTTCAAATATATCATATTCTATTTCATTGAAACCCAGCTTTTAGATCCAAGAACCTCCGGTGCGCATACCCCTAATAGCTGCAGGTTAAAGTGGGGACTACCATCAGCTGTCCGAGGCAAAAACATTAAGTATCTTTGAGAACTAAGTGGCATTGCAGGTGTTTAAAAAAGCTGACAGAAATGTGTAAGAAAAACAAAAAACAAAAACAGTTTCTAATAACGTAGGTGTCAGCACACCAATGTGCCAAACAGACCCTAACGGAACAGGTTTTTGACCTTTTCGACATGTGAAATAACTAGAATGGAAAGTTCTGCTTCTAGGCAAAGGCCATCATAAATAACGTAACAACCCAAAAATAGAATGGGGAGAAAAAAAGCCTGTGATCAAGCCGAAGGCTGGCACTGTGCGGTTTCTCTGAGGCTGACACTGAGGGATAGAGCAATCATTTTCTTCACCCTTTTGGTCAGCTGCTAAAAGCCAAGACCCAATGCTTAACAGCTTTACCCTGATTCAGAAAATGTATACGGGATCTGTCCTTAAGAGTAGTTGTTAGCATCTGTGCAACACATGACAATGAGATCAAAGATCACTGTGGCCTCATGGCACATGTCAGCAAAACAGAAGATAAACACAGGCCTTTTAAATCTGTCACTGTAACTATTTAACCGATTTTTATGATGTTAAACAGATGCTTAGACATTCAGGAGTGTTTACTCGGTATGTACAACATTTCTCGATGAATCTGAGCCAATTGTGCTCTTCCTTTACACATATTTAAAAGCTTAAACAAGATTGGTGAAAATTAGTGGGCTAGGCTAATCTTGAATTAAACAGAAAAATGTGCACACAGACATTTTTGCTTCAGCTTTCACCTTGGAAAACGATACACTGAGTAACTAACAAAATCAATACAAAATAAGAAGTTAAACAGCTCCAATCCATCAGAAACACAAATGTATTGATAATCTATTTAGAAACAGCTTCACATGGTTCAAACATTGCAGCAACCATAAGCTTTTACTTTACCATCTTTATTTGGAAGACAGCAGCAGGGGAAAAAAAAGAAAAAGCAAACTCAATGTAAATATGTTATTTGAATTTCCCCTGAATGTATGCACTCAGCTAAATTCAAATGGACTGTGCACTTCCTCCCCAGGTCTTGTACCAGATATTAACCTGGAAGTAACAGGCAGCGTTACAAAGAAGAAGCTGTTACAGAGAAGAACCACAAGATTCTGTCATTTGTTTTGCCACAAGCTAAACTTACTGCCCCACAAGCTCAACTGTAAACCACCTGACTGTGGGACCTTACGGGGCACAGACCCCTTCTGATACCTTTACCTCAATAATCATAGGTGGTACCTCTCATCCATTTTACTGTAATGATTAACCAGCTAGAATCAGTATATGAATAATGCTTAACTACCTGTCTGGTCATTTGTGACAATCAAGGTTTCACTGAAATCCTGTTCAAGTCCAGTTTTATTGACAGTAGCCCTCTCAAAACTTGTGTAGTTTAGGGGATCTAAGTTTAGAAAGATGGAGCCGTCCACAAATTTAGTCTGAACAGGAACGAAAACCATTGTTAACACTAATTTCAGTTCAGTTACTTGATTTGGATGGAAAATTATGTAAAACTTGTAAGTGTTGTGTTTTTTTTGCAACAATTGGGGGATATTGATGAAAATATTACTTCACAACTTGAATTTGTATTAATTAAATCAACAAACGAATGACAAAGAGTTAGCTCATTTTTAAGCTTTCATGGTGAGTAAGTAATACTGAAGATTAATGACAAGAAGTAACTGCATTATTCTACTTGGGTAGGACATGCCACTCCCAGTAAATGCCTTTGGGCAGTTGAATAGGACTTCAATAGCTTCTGGACTCTGGGGTCCATCTAATCTCCAAAGTTTGGCCTCAGTCAGAACTGTTGGGTGTTAAAAGGATTTGTGGATAAAGCAGAAAAAATGGCTGAGTGGTAAAGAAAAGGGAGATACCTAATTGTATTTCTCATTTCTCCATCCACTTCCTCCCTCTAGTGACCTACTTATTGTTCAGACATGCCTGCAACATGACACACACAAGGAATGAGTGTAGTCAGGGTGGGTGTTTAAGGACATCCGCTTGGAAATTCTTAAGATCGTGAGCAAATGTCTTTCTAGATGGCAATTTCTTTTGGGGGGGTGGGGTTATTTGCAGCTTATTTGGAGGGTAAATAAGGTACATTTAAATTTTATTACTGCGGTCATGTGTGAAATTCCTCCAGCCTCTCAGTCTCTGAAAGGAAAAGACTCACTTCATTGATCTGACAATGTTTGAACTGAAGCTTTTTTGACACTTGACTGCTAATTTGGCTCTATCACTTAAGGTAAATTAGGGGCTCTTAGGAAAAAACCCGTCAGACACGTTTCATTACTAAACATGAACAGGAACAATGCCTGTTGCTTAAGGGGAAACCCAACTCCTAGTGAACAAATCAGTGCCAAGCCCAACTAGCTCCACTTCTAATCCCTTTCTCCAAGGTGTAAATGAGAGAAAATTAACTGGAAAATGTAAAGAATAAGCTATTAATTGATTTCTAATACCAATAAATATTTTTGCAGGATACATGGGTAGAGGAACAGTAGGCCAATGTTTAGATGATCTGTGGACTACTTTCACAACCTGTCACATGTGACGCTGGATGTCAGCGTCTGTACAGTCATGAGCTTAGAGGATGTCTTCACATTTAAAAAGGACCCTAGAGGCATCACATGAATAATCACACAAAATCCTTTCTGCAAAGAAAACCTCAATAAATGCAATACCAAAGCCTGTTAACTAGTGTTGTTTTCTCAATGAATATCATTGAAGGTTGATTCTCGTTTCCAACCAGCACTTATTTTACCACAAACAATGATTTATCCAAAAAACAACCAAAAGTAATAAAACTCCAGATGGCAATCATGCCAAGGTCTCTCAACTCAGAGTAAAAAACATGATAAAGGTGAAATCGAGTGGAAGTGAAAAGGGTGGGAGGTGGACTGATGATTTAGAAGAAGGCCTTGGCAGGTCAGCCTGCTGTGCTTCACACAGGAGACTCTTCTGCGAGGAATGTGACCCATTTTACATTCACACAAGCATTCACAGCAGGAATGCACTGAGCATGCGTGTGATTTGGTCTGCAAGAAGGGGGGAGGGGCACGTGTCTGTAATCTCCACATTGTTCTGAAACCAGCTTGTATGTGTGGCTGAGGTTCTATCTGTTGCTGTGTGAGACCAACCACTCCTGTGACAGGGTGAAGATGTTACAGTAAAGGCAGACATCCATGTGGCGAATTAGGTCAAACTTTGGGTTCTGTTGTTAGTGTATCAGGACAAGAAAAAGAGAGGAAGTTTTCCACATATAAATTCAAGAAAACCTAGTCTAAAAGCATGCAAGAAAGGCTGGAATAAAACTAGGTCAAAGGTCAAATTTACAAAGGAGATCTGGATTGTAAAACAGGGAACAAGCTGTAGTAATGATCAGTGTAACTATTATAACCACAATTATTGCTACTTAAGTCCAAAAAAATATTCTATAAGGATTTTCATTAAATCTTGGAGTATTTAATATTTTGTGTTCTTAAGAGGTCCACTCTTGATAACACAGAAAATATGAATGGGAATCACCTCTTTTTCAATGACAACAATTTACTTACATTCACTTTAAATGTGTTATAAATCATTTGTAGTGAAATACCAGCTCTAAAACTAGAACGATCAATTGATCAAGCCAAAATCATTTCTCACAATTAAACAATGTCTTAGTCAGAAACACTCCTTTACATGTTCACCTATTGATTTATTCTGCGTTCATGGCCAATGCAATTAAAAAAACAATCAAAAGGGAAATGCTGGCCTTGCCTCTCAGAGGGGAGATGACAGAGGTTTTGGCTCAGGTGGCTGTGTGGAAGGAAATCATTCTGACTGCAGTCGACCAAAAGGATAGGAAACTTGCAAGAGGATGCAATACTAAAAAAAGCCCAGTACACGCACTGAGTTCCTTGTCTCTCCCTCATTTGATTGTGGCAAAAAACACTATTCCTTCATCTAGAAGTGAGAGGGTTTCAGACTACATGGTTTGATGATCCCAAAGCCGGACAAAAATGTGTGAAATTTTAAGAAATGTCCATTCAGGTTTCTGCTTAAAACCTATAATTCCTAACAGCAAACAGAAATATAGACAGAAAGACATTGTGATCAACACCAAAATCACATTGTTGTGTAAAAATAAAAACAGTCCTGAATAGTGAAGATGAAAGCAAATCTAGCTAAAAATAATATGGGGAGTTCAAACTAAGTGACAGTTTTTTCTGTATGGCGTGTCCTCCAGGAGGATTTTTTTTTTTTATGTAGTAAAGTAATGAATATGTTCGTAAGTTTCTCGGTAACAAGTATAGATATTCTTCAGTCCATCAAGTCATAAGCCTTACTGGAAGTTAACATGACACTTATTCCTCAGATTTTTCTGGCCTACAGCTACGTGGTAGGTATCATTATCTTACAGTGTGCTCACGTCAACCATGATGTCAGAGCCAAGATGCCTTTGGTCCAACGTGGCTTGTAGTGAACTGCTATGATAGCTGACAGTGCTTAATGTGTAGCTGGTCTTAAGGATGACTCTCTTTTAAAACATTTATAAGTAATGTGTTCTCACTGGCTAAAGAGTACTCCAATTCTCTTTGAGTAAGCACATAATGTGGTGACAACACAGTAGGGAAAATAGAATTTGACAGAAAATATCATACCTGCAGCTCACACCAAGCCACTTCCACCGTGGTCTCAGTATCCAAGCCCTTGTAGACGGTTTTGAAGGAGCCACGTCCAATTTCTATGTCAAACTTTAGGAATCGTCCATCAGGTGATGTTCCAACCGCTTTAGTTTCGGCCTCCTCAATATCATCTTGAACCTTTTTCTCAAACTGTCTTTGCTCTGCCTCTGCGCGTGCCTTAGCAGAGTCTTTGTCCTCTTCCTCCCCCTCATCTTCATGGCGCACCTTCACTTCAGCGGAGCTTTCAGGTTCAGTTTGACTTGGCAATTCAGTTCCAAGGCATGGTGCAGCGTGTGCTGCTTCCACCACCATCCCATCACGGATGTCTTGTACAACAGCAGACTCTTTCACTGAAGGCACAACACCCACCTTGGCTATCTCTATGTCTTTTCCTTGCCGACCTGCGTCTTCATTTCCTCCAGGCACCTCAGTCTGAGCTATTCTAAGTTCAGCCTTGGGTAAATGAGCAGAAACAGACTTTTGCCGCTGAAGAACAGGTTCCTGTAGATGACTGCGCTGAGATCCAGAGATGGAGACTTTACTGGGTAGAGGAAGGGCCAATGCCGTCGCGTTAGAATCACTGATGACACTTCGGCGTAAAAAACGGTGTTCGGGGTTCACTCTGTCACGCTCCATGGTGTGATGCCGACGTCTCACCTCCGCTGGCCGGCACTCACTGACCATTGAATCTGAACCTGAACTGGGGCTATTTCCACTTTTATGAGGGGGAGCCAGGAACTTCACCATTTTGTCATCTGGCTTTTCCGACATCCCACCACCCACAGTAAGAATAAGGAGGTGTGATAACTGAAAAATTAAAATAAGGGTATTTCCATGTTTGTCTTTACAAACAGTATCAGTGGCTGCTTCAAATGGAAAAAGACTTCTATCTTACGCTGCCCTTTTTTTTTACTGCTTAAAGAATGTCTTTACATATATAGTTCGGGGACTGGTGATGTAAGATGGGAGGTGTCCTCTTGAAAATGGAAAGAGACAGAACACTGCAACTAAATGCAGGGTGCTGCTGTTGATACTCAAGTCTCTTCAAGTCCACACCATCCATCCTGTAAGACACAGGATGCAGCTTCTTTCAAGCATAAGGAATCACTGGCAAGAAACAAACATGCACAGCCTACAACTGGCACAGGCACCAAATACCCCAGTGTGGGGAAAGGCTGAACGGGCAGGCAGTCTGAATGTGTATCGGTCCACTTCTTCTGTAACAGAAAAGAGAAAACAAAAAACCATGTCAAAAGTAACCAACATTGTGTGGATTATCAACAAGGTTTTTTATAGACCTGTATACGTCTCCACAGACTGAATTGACAGTGTAAATACAGTTTAAGAATGCTACTTAAATGTGGAGCATAAAGATGACCCTCGGTTTATCAGAAGCTTGAGTGTTTGTTTTTTCAAAATAAGCCGCATTTTGAGATAAGATCCATAAAACATCAATTTTGCTATTATATATCTGAGTGTTCCCTGTTTCAAATTAGATTAGCTATTTATTCTATTCCAGACATTTCAAGTACTTGCCTTCAAAGTGCAATTTCACATCAGTCTTCAATTTGTACAAAAATTAACCATTTCAATTAACCGTTAAGTACCACTTATTAAATATTAATAATAATCAACATTCAGTTCTGATCTTTTTCAAGTTATTTGCTATGAAATAAAACCTTTCGTGAAATGTCAAATAGTCGTTTTTCCCTCTGTGCGTCATTAAGCATGAATAACATATGCTCTGCTCAGTATTTCCGTCAAAATAGTAACAATGTTGCAACCATCCACCGTTAGGGCTGTGCAAGCCTGCAGTGACAATATTAGACATTATTCTTATCTTTCCTATTAATGTTGCAGCCGTGACCACCGTAGAGAACCATAATGTCAGAACTCCACCGACATGGTTTGCTGCAGTAACATTAAAACCAAGAAAATAAACGGTTCCAAACGACGTGATAAAATCGTTCTTGTAATTAACTCTAATCTCTAATTACATACCTATTGTTGTCGTCGTATAAATGACACCGCAGCCATTTGAAACGGCAACACCGAGTTCAACATTACGAAGCGAGGGGGAGCAACGGCTCTTTGTTAGCAAGCTAACAAGAACAGCTAGCCCATAGCTAGTTAGCTGGAGTAGGCTAATCCTTTAACAGGGGAACGATAACCCAACGATGACTAATTTCCGCGTCACGTATTTTTTTTTATTCACCCTGAAATTCAACTTACACTTTTACACAACTAACACACATACCACCTGGTTCTTTTAACGTATTCCAAACCTTAACTAGTCAACCATGGTTCATAGTTTTACCGTATCGAAGTCCAGGGTCCATCCCGAAGCGATTAACCTCACATCGGGTACGTTCGCCCGGTATAACGCCGGTTGGAAAAGCTGTGACAAATAGCGCTACTGCTACGCAGCTAGCTAACGGTAGCGAGGCGGGTCTTACCAATGGCCTAAAACACTTGACCCACCTCCTTGTAGTCCATTCAATATAACGCCATCAGTAGCTTTAAGCAGAGCTAAGCTCGATGGCTGTTATAACGCAGATAATTATTTTACAGTCGGTGTTTCACAACGATTTTGGGTAACCAGTGGCTGAACTAGGATCTGTTAATACGATAATGTAATACTTGTAACGTATATTTGTATCGAGTCCGATTTATTTTCTTCCCAATTAACGTAACAATTAGCAGTATAGCTTTCGAAAACCAGGCCGGTGTTGGACGGTGCCGGGTGGCAGATATAGACCTACCTCACATGCAGTATCCACAACACCAGTCAGGGTCAGTGTCACTTAATTGATCCTCACAGCATAGAAACATCTTCACATATTTAAAAATGACAAAAGGTAGTTTACACATATACAGATGTCATGCATACACATATCCAAGCAACTGAGCAACGAAACAGGGTTTTCTGGACTGGTTTTCAAACAAGCGGCGTAGTTGCTACAGATTGATTAAGGAAGAACGGTTATATTAACAGCGCATGCGCGAGGCGAGAATGACATCCATATCATTCATACAGTCCTTTTTATGAAACACGGCGTGGTTTCAGCCGTTCATCTTGATCTATTAAGGCAACGATTTTGCGTGTATAATCAGAAACCACAAGGCTTTTATAAGTTGCAATTGATATAACTGATTATTCACGCTTTGATAAGCATACCTAATAGGATTAAGTAAAAAAAAGGCCTCAGCAATCCAACAGAAATTTGTTCATGAAAGACATTAGTGGAAATTAAAATAAATTGAAAAATTTCATCAAAGACGACTGTAGGGAGTTCAAACCCTAACACAATAACTTTACAAACTTTGGCCATTCATTTAGCCAAAGATGTATTACTATATCTAAAATTCGTTTGCTGCTTATGCATGCTGGGTTTAGTTTTTTATTTCGTACTTGGCAGGTTTTGAAAAAACTGCAGGAGACACCAGACTATTTTCTGGAAACAGTTAATGAGAAAACTGTTCTACAGTGTGAGCATAGATTAAAAAAGATTAAGATAATAAACTGAAGCTGTCTTGTTGATTTGCACTGTATATATATGTGGCATAATGACAGATTTATCTGTTCTATTTTGTCTAAGTTATGTGGACTATATTGTTTTTTTTAGGAAGGTGTATGTCATCAAATTATAGATATACCTTAATGGATGTTTTAGAGAACTTGGGATCTATGTTAGAGTGGAACCCGACAATGTTTTTCTCACACATAACCAGGTTATATGAGGAAGTTTGGAAGTGACTGAATTAACACATTTTGATGTGGGAGGGAGTTTTTGCCATTTACCAAAGAAAAGTACCTGTTTACCTGTAGGAGTGAAAAATGCAGAAGATATGTGATATAGATCAGATAGATCTTTGAACTATTTTTCAACTGTTTCAAACATATTTCTAATTTACTATTACTGTTCATTATTCCGTTCAAATGTGCCTCGTGGTTTAGGTTTCAGATTTATACATGTAAATTTAAAACATAATTCTCTGATAATGTCCAGACAAGCCTGAAAAATATCTTTCCTCATAGTAATTATTTTTAGATGCAACTCTCACTACAGGTTAGCACTGCCCCCTGGTGGTGCTTATCACACTGGATAAATGACGAAGACCTGGCTGCAGTCATATCGCATCTACATTTGTAATGTTAATTTAAAGGACAGAGATTAATACATCATATTTAGATAAAGTAGATACCCATTCATTGTTGCATGTTTATAGCATTTTGCTTTTGGAGATCCATAATTTTTACCCCGAATAAATAACAATCGATGCAAGATCAGTAAGCTAAATAATTTATTCTATGGTCACAGTCAAACAGAAGAGTCAGCGAAGACCCACAACGGCGCAACATTTTAGACACACATTCATATCGACTTGTATCTCTTTTAATCCAAGAACCGTGCTTTGGTTTAAAACTGTGTGTGGGGTGGGGGTGGGGTGCAAAAGTCTGAGCCTTGGTGCCCACTGTAAAAAACACTGTGTACCCGTAAGTTTCTGTCCACTCTCCCAGCAAAAGGTCTCTCGTGCACGTGCGGCAAAAATTCAAGCGTGGCGAGAGAGGCTGTCGTGAACGCGCACGGGGGGCTTGACGTCACTGAGGCGCCCTGGCTCTCCTGAGCCGCTGGTACTGCTGGCAAAAGATGGAAAAATCAGATAGACATTTTTTGTAATTTTAACATGAAATGACCATTTTCCCCGTCCATATCCGTTTGGCAAAGGACTAAGTTCTGGCATCGGGTTGTGTGGACCAGACCGAGAGAAAGGTAATTTGTTTGAAAAGGTTTTTACCAGCAGCTATTGTGTTAGCGACAGAAAATTGAGAATCTGCTTGACCACATAAATTGGGATGGACTAGCCTCCATATGTCACGGCGACATAACGATAGGCGTATGCTTTTCCTGCTCAAACTGTTTGTTAGATATTTACGAGACTCTGGGCTATGTAGGCGAGTCTCTGGATTGAGAAATGGTCATATGCTAAATATGAAAAGCGGTTGAAAAGAGGTGAAAAGAATGAATATGGTTTGATGGGTGTCTCCGAAGCTGACGCTCCACGGAGACGTTTGGATTGAGCTAAATGCTTTTCTTCGTAATGTAATTCATTGAGACGTCACATTCGGTTAACTTATCACCACGAACATCTAGCTAGCTATTCGATTAACTACATACATTTGAACATTTCCAAGCTGGAAGCCCCCCCCCCCCCACCCTTCCCCTCCCATCACACCGTCCACCGTGGACAATTCCCATTTTCTCCCGTTTGCTAGTTTTAATATGTAGCATCAGCACATCCCAAAAACATATATATCTCGAGAGCTGATTTATTTCTCTAGAAAAATAGAACAACTACGATGAGCAAACTACAACGATTTACTGTGCACGGGGAGTTAAAGGGACAGACGTCAGGGTTTTGTTGCTAGCCCCGACGTGTAAAGGCGACTCCAGCTGGTAGCAGGGCCACGCAGAAGTTAAATGGCACTCTAAACCTATCACAAAACGTTTTCTTTTTTGGTGCCAAAAATCTTATGTGCACCCCAGAAAGCACCCCAGAAAGCGTAGACAGTTGAATCTGGACAAAAACGCAAACAGACACATTTAAACTTGAACCGTTTTCTCAGACAGGTCAGCTATCCTGAATATGCAGATAGAAAAGCACTGGCAACAAACAGTGGTAGAAGGAAACACTGCTTTTTGCCTTTTTAGCTGGTATTGTGTAAGACACACAGATGATTGATTATAAAGCTGGAATTTATTAGCATGTGACTAATAGCTGGTGAAGGGGAGCCTTGTTTAAGCTATTTACACATTTTACATAAAGGAATGTCAGAAACAGTACTGATACACGTGTTTTTATCACTCTGTCACGCTTCATAAAAGAAAATACATTTTGAAGAGGTACATACATTTAGATACTTGTTGAAATGAAACCATGTAAGATGTTCAGATGAAGATGAACAATTTGATAGCTAAAACTGTTTTGTAGTACTTGAAAGGCCTCAGATGCTGGACACAACAGCTTTCATTTTTATCAGGTTATTGTAATGTAATAGTTTATTGTTTTAGCAACTCTGTCCTTCATATCCAGAATGAATGGTGATAAAAGAGATGAGCACAAGTATCCAACCGTACCGCTGGAATGAGTGCGGTTACATCTGTTACCTACCAATCCCTCCTAATCGGAGTCTTGACACACCTTTCTCAATGTGTATAGTTGTAATACTTTCTTGTAATGTGCGATTTAAAAAGAACAACTGTATTTTGTTTGCAGGTCAGTGTTATTTATAACACTTGGACATTGCCGTCATCACTCTCAAAAGCAAGACCAGGAGACTTCTCATATCATGAACATCGTGGCCATTGTCTCCAGTTGAAGCAGGGACAGCCAGCACAAATTAACCCGCTGAGAGACAGGGCCAGAGATACTCAGTTTCTCCTCCTTTGCACTATAGGATCCTTTCTTCTATTTAGCACAAGATGTATAGTAGTGCCCGCTCTGTTAGCAGAGGGGATGCCAATCATGGTGGAGGAAGAGATGGAGGTGGTGCTAGTAATCAGGGGTCTGGTCGATCGCCCAGACTGCCCCGCTCTCCTCGGATGGGCCACCGCCGTACCAACAGCACCGGGGGAAGTGGTGGGGGTCCTGGAGGAGCTGGAGGCAAAACGCTCTCCATGGAAAACATCCAGTCCCTCAATGCTGCGTATGCCACATCAGGACCGATGTACCTGAGTGATAATGAGGTCGCCATGGCAGGCGATCATATTCCCAAAAGTGGTGGGACAATGACGACCATGGGAAGACAGAGGGTGACTTATGGATCCCGAGGCAGCAGTGGTGGAGTTGTAGCAGCTAGCACTCCCAATATCTCCACCTCAGTGCCTGCCAACGCTGTGCTGCCAGCAGGTATGATGGCGGGCGATGCCCTGGCTTTTGGGGACCACCACATGGCTTCCACCGTGCCCCATTCGCTGAGGCAGGCCCGAGACAACACCATCCTCGACCTGCAGGCCCAGCTTAAAGAGGTATTTTACAAATGGCTTAAATTCTCATTAATACACATCTGGGCATTTTAATGACCAGGCTGAAACTATATAATATAATTTATGCGGCTCCCCTCAGGTTCTGCGTGAAAATGAGATGTTGCGACGAGAAGGAGAAGTAAAAGAGAGCAAACTCAGCTCGTCCATGAATTCTATCAAGACTTTCTGGAGCCCAGAATTGAAAAAAGAGCGTGCTCTCAGAAAAGATGAAGCCTCCAAGATTTCTGTTTGGAAGGAACAGTACCGCGTTATTCAAGATGAGGCACAGGTGAGTGTTTCTTTGAAAAAATTGTAGACTTAAAGAAATAAATATTTTTCTATTTGTGCAAAGATAAATCACATCATGATTGATATAATTATGAAATCATGTACAAACATTTCTAATAATGATATGATTGACTGTACTACCTCACTATTCTAGTTTTTGAACTCGTCATATTACGTTTATCAGGTTAAAGAGAGTCATCATACTGACTGTGTCCCAGATCGATAGAGCACAAAAACGTATTTCCCCAAGTGTGTCAGCTTTAGCGCTAGAGTGTTATACTCATTTTCTCTTCTCATAGGTTAGAGGCAGTTTCTCAACATCAAGCTAATCCTCTTATATGCCGCTATATGCTCATGCTTTGTAGATGAAAGAGGGGTAAAGTCTAATGGCTGAATTAGCATTCCTGTATGTTAAAGGAAATGGTCCAAGTGTTGAGCGGTATGAAAATGTGACAGTAAGGCATATTTTAATACGTATGGCGAATTAACAACAGCAGACAATGAATACTCCTCATAAAATCCTGCAACATATAACAGTAGTACATTAGCATTGGTGAATTTGTGCGGAGTACAGCAGATTTTGACTTAATATTCATATATATATATATATATAATTATCAAAAACGCACACAAATTAAAACAAACTGCTAGATATAAGTGGGTTCCAACCTAGGTACAAGTAATAAGTGTTAATAATGGTAGTAATATGAGTTTAATAATGGTAATCGGATAAGTGCGGTTAAGGTTTTAAATAAGATAAAAAAAACTGCTGTGTTGTAATATTTGTGCAAATGGGTTTCTTTAATGAAGAGAAATGGTCTTTGTTTAACTGTGATTCTTAATGGATGGGCCGACCTCCTGTATAATTTGCTGCCTTCACCCTGCTGACTCACAGAATCACACTCTGGACTAATTCCCAGTAATGCCCGACCAGCACAGGGCTAATCAGCGGGTGCTTTAATTTAAAGATGTCTGCTTTCATATGTCTGCCTCCACCTCCCACGCTGGCACACATGCACAGAAGGCATGAACACACACACACAGTCTCTCTCAAAGGCATTTGGCTGATTATGGCTTCAGTTAAACTGCGTGCCCTCATTGGATGTAGGCACATCTAAATGTGCATGTTAGCAATTGTATGTTTACATGTGTATAATTTGATCTTGGCCACAGCTTTTCCTACTCCCTGCCACAAGGCAGACTGTGACTGCTCTCATCCTGTGCAATGCTCTTTTTAATGTTTATAAGAAGGAAATGGCTCTCCTTTTTCTCCTCTCTTTGAAAACGCTCACCACATGCCTAAAGAATAATCACCTGTTATTTTAGGCTAATTACTCTTGTTTCGTTTTAACAGGACACCAAATTTGCAAAGATGAGTTTAATTATCGCGTCTTGTCCCTCATGTTTTGTATTCTCTCAGAAACCTGACAGTTCTCTTTTCCAAGCAGGATGAGGATAGAAGGATGATAATATGGGGGCTGAGGAAGGGAAATGTTGGATGTGTTTGTGCTTGTCTGTGCATGCATCTGCCTGTGGGTATATTGGTGGGGGGTGGATCGGTGCAGTCACAGCAGTGAGTCAGCCTTAGTCACGGGGTGGAGAAGGTGATGGAAAGGGATGGTTGGTGAGAGGAGAGGTGAGAGTATTTGAAGCAGGAGAAGGAGCGAGAGCAGGGAAGGTGTATGAATAGTGAATCAGGAGGAGAATGGTGTGTGCTGGTGGAGGGGGAAGGCAAGCATGACAACGCAGGCAAAGGGAGGGGGCCGGAGGATGGACAGAAATGAAGGCAGACACTGACTTCTCTCTTTGTTCTGTCTTTTGAAAGCGCTCACAGCTGGTTCAGACCAGAGTGTAACGCAGCCCTGTGCTACTGTCTCACAGCAGCTCTGCCAAGTGTCCGTGGCGTCAGATGCCACAAACAATGCAACACTACACTGGGCTGATTGTGTTTCACCGCTTCTGTTTCACCGTCTGCAAAGCCTGCTGTTGTGGGCACATCAGTCGGGACATTGCTACGTTTTGGGTTATGATTATACACTCATTTTCAACAGTCTGTAAAACAATATCCTCTCAGGAGCCGTTCTCGTAAAGTGGGGTGGTTACACAACACAAATCATTCAACTAATCCAAACATTTTCCTCATGTACCCCTCCATAAATCACATGCATATGAAGGCAAGCAAATGGAGAGCAAAAGTGTGTTTTCTCTCTGTCTGAAGCATCTCCAGATGACAGTTCAGGCTCTTCAGGATGAGCTGAGGATCCAGAGGGACCTCAACCAGCTCCTCCAGCAAGACCCGGCCAGCCAAGGAAGAGACTTGGCCCTAACATCTGAACCTACGGAGGAGAACTATCGGCGGCTACATGGCGAGCATGAGAGACAGGCAAAGGAGCTCTTCCTTCTGAGGAAGACACTGGAGGAGATGGAGCTGAGGATTGACACACAGAAGCAAACCCTGGGAGCCAGGGATGAGTCCATCAAGAAACTTCTGGAGATGCTGCAGAGCAAAGGCAGGTTAAGAGACTGTAGGGTCCCACTTAGATGCCCCATATGAACTCTCACTGGAAATTAGGATGTGTAACATGGCTGAAAGGTTTAGGATACTGATTTAAATTCATTTAGTCAACGATGACAATATTAGACAATGTATGAATGACATTGTGTGCTTATCCTTTATTCTAAAGGGGAGTAACGTAAACTCAGAAAAATGTATAGAAATGGAAAGTAAAGTAAGTCTTACTATATGTGTACAATTATAAACACAATAATCATAAATAGATGATAAAAAATGATAAAAGAATCCAGAATGTACAACAACTGATAATTGCAATTTTGAATGAAGTTGTAAAAGTGGGGAAAAAAATCCCTAAATGTTCTTTCAGTGAGTCAAATGTATAATTATTTTTGTCCTTCAATTTATTCCTGATTCATCTTTAAGATGACATTTGTGAAAGCTTGGGAATTTATATTTTTCAAAATAATTGCATATTTTTGATCGTAGGGGTTTCAACACAATAAGAAGAAGGAAAAAAAAGTCCCTCCACATTCCTCTTGCTAAACTAATGAAGTTTCATTTGGGGAATCAGTGGTATCCTTTGCTAGCTAGCTGATTGTACTTGTGCTTAATTCTGAGCTTCTTATATATTCTTCTCCCAATTCATCATGTGAACTAAACGAAGCTGACGTGTTTGTTGTGTTAGGTCCTTCTGCCAAAGCATCAGAGGAAGACCAGGAGAGAACCAGGAGGCTGGCTGACGCAGAGATGCACAGGCATCACCTTGAGAGTTTACTGGACCAGAGAGACAGAGAGATTACTGCTCTGAGAGAGGTAATGTAGAGTTCAAACATTTAGCCCTCTCAGTTCATGGGCATATGTTCCACCAGCTTCAGTTTGACATGACACCCGATCTTTTTAACATGTTCGCCATCTGGCCCAACAGGAGCTGCACCGTCGATACGAAGGGACCCCTGAGTCAACCAAAACAAAGGCTCTACAGACTGTTATTGACATGAAGGTGGGAATTTAAAAATGGTAGTTATGAGATTCTTTTGTCAAAACACACACTTGACTGTCACACTTTCTCCAACGGTGCCAGGATGCAAAAATCAACTCAATGGAGCGCGGCCTGAGGGACATGGAGGAGGAGCTGCTAATGCTGAAATCCAATGGACTTCTGAGCTGTGAGGAGCGCCAAGAGGAGATGAAGCAGATGGAGGTGTACCGCAGTCACACCAAGTTCATGAAAAACAAGGTCAGAGACGACACTTGAAATCAGGTGGACTAAATCGTTGCAATTCCTTCCTCCTCTCCGCCCCGTGATCTCATGAAGGAGCATCTTTTTCAGATGGAGCAGGTGAAGCAGGACCTCTCCAGGAAGGACACTGAGCTGCTCGGTTTGCAAACCAAACTGGAGACGCTAACCAACCAGTTCTCAGACAGCAAGCAGCACATTGAAGTCCTAAAGGAGTCGCTCACTGCCAAGGAGCAGCGCGCTGCCATCTTACAGACAGAGGTACACCAAAGAGCTCAGGAATTCTGCGCTGGTCTGTTTTGAACCTTATCCATTCTTAACTTCATGGCAGGAGACTTTTTTTTTTCCTTCTGTAAGATGTCCACTCTTTCCTCTCCAGGTCGATGCTTTACGCCTGCGCTTAGAAGAAAAAGAGGCAACCCTGAACAAGAAGAGCAAGCAGATTCAAGAAATGTCAGAGGAGAAGGGGACCCTGAATGGTGAAATCCACGACCTGAAGGACATGCTGGACGTCAAAGAGCGCAAAATTAACGTGCTGCAGAAAAAGGTGACGATGGCAAAGAAAATAAACTATTTCCGGTGTATCGCGTTGTTTGTTCGCATCACAGTGCGTCGCCTTTTTATACGATGACATTTTTCCTAACGGTCGCTTGATCTGCAGATCGAGAACCTGCAGGAACAACTGAGGGACAAGGAGAAGCAGCTGAGCAGCCTGAAGGAGAGGGTGAAGTCCTTGCAGGCGGACACCTCCAATACTGACACAGCTCTCACCACACTGGAGGAGTCACTTGCAGAAAAAGTATGTTCCGGTGCTTTTCTCCTCTCCCCTTTGTTTGTGGCAGCATGCGTTTGTTTTTCGGAAATGTGTGAGAGCATATGGCGGGACTGTTTCCTGCACCTCTCCAGGAGCGCATCATTGAGCGTCTAAAGGAGCAGCGAGATAGAGACGACCGGGAGAAGACAGAGGAGCTCGATTGCACGAAGAAGGAGCTGAAAGAGTTCAAGGAAAGACTGAGTTTACTGCAGGGAGACCTGTCAGACAGAGAGGTGGGAAAATCCCCCAAAATACATTTATATTCTGGTTAATGTTATTCTGCTTATACTTTGAAAGGTCACCTTTTTCCTCATTTCTCTGAGCTTCTCTGAGTCATTCATTAGTTTCCTTACTGCCACGCTCAGTTGATCAGATAATCTCAAATGGCTGCATTTTGGTTTCTGTTTCTCTGAAGACCTCTCTGCTGGACCTTAAGGAGCATGCGTCGTCCCTGGCATCCTCAGGACTGAAAAAAGATTCCAAACTGAAGAGTCTGGAGATCGCCTTGGAGCAGAAGAGAGAGGAGTGCCTAAAACTGGAGAACCAACTGAAGAGAGTGAGATAAAGAAAATATTTCCAAAAAATGTTGAAGCTGATGCTTTTATATTGATACTACAGGGATCTCTAACGGCTCCTGTCCTCTGTCAGGCTCAGAATGCAACCCTGGAAGCTCAGGCCAACACTGAGCTGGCTGAACGCATTAAAAACCTGGAGCAGGAAGTGGTTCGCCACAAAGAGGATTCTGGGAAGGCACAAGCTGAGGTTGACCGCCTCCTCGAAATACTTAGGGAAATGGAGAATGAGAAGAATGACAAGGACAAAAAGATCAACGAGCTGGAGAGGTGGGCTTTAGCTGTCGGCGTATGTGAATAATGATCTACACCTTTTTTTAGGTAAAAGGAAAACCTCTCACAGAGTTAGCTTTTATGGAGGTAAATATACTGGGATTGAATTAGCCACCACTATATTCGGAGTGCACCCATGTTAGGATCACTGATACCAGGTCTTTCCTCTCTGCCTGGAGGCGGAAGGTGCAGTCTGAGGGACTGTCAAGGACAAAAAGAAATTAAGATAATTAGACTGAAAAGAAGGTTGGGAAAGTAGCTGAATCTTGCATTGAAAAAAATTCTAAACACTAGCGTTGTTAGCCAAATTTTTCGAATTTCAACCGAAAAATTATAACATAATGTCCTCAACCATCACTGAAGTATGAAATGCCAATTTCACTTAGCAACATTTGGTGTTTCACCTTCCAAAGTTGCATTCCAAGCTCCACTTTAGGAACCACTGGTTTAATCCAAACACGCTACAGCCTATGCAGGATTATTGATTTGGAGTGTTTGTGAGCCAAAGGGAAGAAGGGGTCATTGTGTCTGTCTGTGTGTGTTTGTGGTATAAGCAGAAAGTGGGGCGGAAATGATGTGTTGCGTGCAGCTACACAGCAAAACAAGACTTGATCATCTTGTGTAATACAGAATTATAACTCAGACATGGGTTTGCTGCTATGGGAATTTGGCAGAATATTTCCCCTTGAGTCAGGCAGCGTACCTGTTGAATATGAACCGTTTTCCATCAATCTCAGAGTGACTGAGCATATCTAGGTCATACATTTATGTTCCAAATTTACATCACCAGTCTGACTGAGGTAGACCGAGTAGCATTCATCGAAAAACCTAAGCACAACTCTGAAACGCAGCAATCACATTAAATCACGCACAGTAAACAGTGGGTTGATTGGACGCACAAAGCCTTTGAGAACACAGATATGAATGTGGACTGAATGCTGTCACATTATCGCAAACAATGAGGCCGTTAAGCATCAACCTTTTTTTGTCTGAAAGAGTGAACGAGTGCATGAGACCCCACCCTTCTCTCTTGTTCTCCACATTTGCTCATTTTCTTAGCCTGGGTCTGCTTTTCTCTTCCCTGCTTTCTTGTCTTTTCACTGGAAATTTCACACCCCACCAGTCTGGCCTCGAGGTTAGTATTTGCTCTTTTCTCTCCTCTGACACCTTTTCCCACTTTGTACTCTCCTCACAGTTACCTCCCCTCTCCCTCTGTACACCTATTGGTTCTCCAAACTTATGTTAGCTGCGAGCAGTCATTGTTTCCTGATACCCCTTTTCTTTCCTCGTCCTCTGGTGTAGGCTCATGTTTCATCTTCCACCTTATTGTGCTGTCTTTCACCCTGATTTTAATCCAAGCTTGTGTCTGCAGATTAGTCTAAAATCTAGCTAAAACATGCCTGTGTTTGTAACCACCATCGTACAGCAGTTTTTCTTAGGATCATATTTATATATTTTGATTTGAGATAAAGTTTTACTTGATTCCTGATACTGTGTTTAGTCACTGAGTAAGGACCAAATGGCTGCCTTCATAAACCAAGTAAACAATGTTTATGGCCAAATTTGCATGAATCCTATTTGAGGGCCATCTGTGTCATAAACCTGGAAGCTCAAGACAGTGCTGCATTTTCTTTAATAACACGTTTGTACCACAGTTGAGGCAAGTAACATGTCAAACGTTGCTCCTGTAGGCAAATGAAGGACCAGACTAAGAAGGTGGCATCACTTAAACACAAGGAGCAGGTGGAGAAGAGCAGGAACGCTCGACTAATGGATGAGGCCCGGAAGAGGGAGGACAACATGTCGGAATCTTCCCAGCAGGTGAAGGTGAGGCCCGGGCCGGAAACCGTCTGCACGCAGCCTTCCCCGATTCTAACGAGGAGCCTTTCTGCTGCTTTTAAGGACACTCTTCGTCAGAAGACGGAGCGCATAGAGGAGCTGGAGGAGGCTCTGAGAGAGAGCGTTCAGATCACAGCCGAGCGAGAGATGGTGCTGGCACAGGAGGAGGCAGCCCGCACCCTGCAGGAGAAACAGGTACGCGGCACGCGCGCATGGCCAGCCAGTGTTCGTCAATCAACAAGAACTGAGCATATCTTGACCTTTGTATGTACGGATAAAGAATCTGCTGTTCCGTCCGCGTCACCTTTTGCTGCCATTACGTTGCTGCTCATCCTGTCTTCTCCTCTTTGGCCTCCTCTTCTGCTCCGAGTCCTTTTATCTTTGCTTGACATTTTCTCTTGTTTTCTTTCTGCTACACAACTGCCTCTCAGAAGCACTCACTCAAACCAATGCATGAGTCCAACCTCGCCCACTTTAAGTGGTCTAAGGTATGAGCCCCAGTACTTGTGACCTCCGTCAGTGAGCAACAACACTTACAGGGGGTGGACACAATGAAAGCAGCACGTCTACAACTCACGCATTCTCAAACAAACCTGCAGTATACACGTTTCCAAAGTTCAATCACTTATGAGGGTTTCAGGTGTGATGCTGTTCAGGCTGCATGTTTTTGTCAAGTGTTTGTGTCGTTTCCCACCCACCTGAATTTTCTTTACCTGCCGTTTGCTTTTAAGGTGGTGTTAATTAGATCAGTTTATCATACAGTAAGTTGCCAATAAATATTTACACCTAGGATGAATTATTAATTTAATTTAGTATTAAAAGGCAAAGATTTGTCTGGTTTTCTGGCTACAACCTGAGCTGAATGTTCATTTGTTAAGTGATCTGGCAGAATGTGTCTGGCACCTCTCATTATAACAGATTCACACCCGGCTTTGCCCAGGCCCAGTTAGGACTGCACATCTGATAGGAGGCAGCTTTCATGTGTGACCACATCCTGTTGAAGCAAATAAGGCGATAGCAGCTGGTGTGGAAGGGTCTTTTAAACAAATTGTGCTGGTTTTAGTGGTAATGTCTGTTCGTCTTTCAATTTCTGTCACATTCAGCTGCCCTGACTGGCTTCCAGTTGCTTCCAGCAATTTATGACCCTTAGACTATGCAAATGAGAGGTTATGATTTGTGCTGCTTGTGCATTTTTCAGTCTGTGTTAGCCGTCCAGATCATTTTAAAGCAAATGGTAGGTAAATAAAATCTGGTTCTACAGTTAATTTTTGTAACAGTTGATCTCTAGTCCTCCCCTTCAGCTCACGTGAATTCTGCCGCCCCTCTCTGACATCAGAGCAGTTCACATTGAAAAGTCATTAAAAGTGTAACTTATTAGAAGTTTGAAAAAAAAGATTTTAATCGAGTCTTTATTGATGGACCTCATCGGCTTTATTCCTCACTGACTTGTTTTGTGTGTGTGTTTTCGTAGATGGAGGAGCTGCTGGGTGCCATGGAGAAAGTGAAGCAGGAGCTGGAGTCCATGCGGGCCAAACTGTCCTCCACCCAGCAGTCTCTGTGTGAGAAAGAGGCCCACCTGACAACCCTGCGAGCAGAGCGGAGGAAACACCTGGAGGAGGTGCTGGAGATGAAGTAAGACACACATACCTGAACGCAGACACAAACGGCAGGGGGGCACAGACTCTACTTATTGATCGCCACCTTAATCTCGTAAAATGTCATCCAATTCTGGCTCTCCCCAGCTGGCACGCCGGCGTTGTGCGATGAATAATAGATTACACTCGGCTATTTACCTGTGTGGGGGGGAAAAGTCACGTTGCGTCGTCTCCTCCCACCAGGCAGGAGGCGCTGCTGGCCGCCATCAGCGAGAAGGACGCCAACATTGCCCTGCTGGAGTTGTCCTCCTCTAAGAAGAAGAAGACCCAGGACGAGGTGGCTTTGCTCAAGCGGGAGAAGGACAGACTGGTGCAGCAGCTCAAGCAGCAGGTGGGGGAGAGGCGTCTGATCCGTGAGCGGGGACACCAGACGGTGGTCTGAGGAGCCAGGCTCCTGAAAACAGGGTTAGCCTAACTATGGCAGATGTGCGTCGTCACCAGTGACAAACACTGGCCGACAGACTAAGAGTGATCCTGGCCATGGCATCATGTTTTGTGTGTACAGACTTGATGAGGGCATTTCGTCATGGTGACATATGTCACCTCCCATAGAGCAAGTGTCGTTACTACAACAACGTGAGTCAGTAAACTACCCTGCTGGAAAGATGAGTGTTCTTGCCTGCCCTGTTGGCATCAGCCTGTGCACTCACACTAACAGAGGGCTCCAGTTGTCTTGCAGACAGTTGAGATATTGAATAATTGCCAGTTTCACAGCCAGCAATGTGAAAACGTTTGGCTCGTTAAACGAAAAGAGCTGAAATCGGCTTCATATTCAACCATTTGTTGGAGTCTTTGGTGATTTCGATCAATTTTCTGTCAGCTGTGGCAGTGAATTTGTCCAGCATCTAAAACTCATTTTACAGACGTGCTCACTTTGCTCCAGGTCACAGAGTCTCAGCGGTTGAACTCGGAAAGGCGAAAGAAACGAAATGTAACACTCTTGTTTCTTTGCTCAGCGACTCTCTCTTTCTCTCTCTGCGCTTAACTTCCAGACTCAGAACAGAATGAAGCTGATGGCAGACAACTACGAAGATGAGCATCTGAAGACCGCAGCGGACCAGACAAATCACAAACCCTCTCCAGATCAGGTAGCGCAAGGAACCGCCCGCAGCCAGACTGCTTTGCTTTCATAAAGAGCCTCGCTGAAATGGCCGCCACAGGAAGGAAACTCGAGTTGTGTGACAGCGCTGTCGTTTTCTCCACTAACCCAATGTTCCTTTCTAATGCTGCCACTGCCTAACAGGACGATGAGGAGGGTATTTGGGCGTAGCCAGCCATTTGCCCTCCCCCTCTCTCTAACAGCCATTTTGTTCAGAAGGGTGAGATTGCATAAAGGCCAAACCTCTTTCACCCCTCACTGGAACGTGTACCTCGTTTGTTTGTGGCTGTCCTCATGTCATCTTCTTAAGTTGGACTTTCGATGTCTTTGTCGTCTGTTCTTAAACTCATTGTGTGGTTTGACTTTTGTATTTGTGTGTGCATGTGCACTGTGAGTATGATGTCAAATCAAACTGAAGCATGATGGCTTTGCATGCTCTGGTGATTAGCTGTGCTAAAAAAAGGATGTTCAACAGCACCTTTTTAAGCTAATCGCTAGTTTAACAACTTACTTTGCAGCACCCTTTGTTGATCTAGATCAGATGTTGTCTTTAATTTCTCTTGATCAGGTTGTTGTATTGCTTCTCCATTAACTGTATTCCAGCAGTTAAACGCGACCGTACCTGTTCCTTTGTTTAGCCTTTGTGTAATCATCTGTGTTCCTGTGTCCTCCCACTTTCCTCCTCCCTACAGATGATAGCCCCTCTTCTAGCCTTGTCCCAGAACCGCAGTAAGCTCAAACTCTACATCGCCCACCTGACTGACCTTTGCCACGACAGAGACCCCAGCATCCTCGGCCAGCTCACGCCACCCTCTCACTATCACCACGGCGACCCTGAAGACTGGGAGGAGGAGCTCCAGAAGATGAGTGTGGAACAGGTATCCTGATCATCTTCCCTCCGCTCTACATTCTCTCTGTTAATCACAATTATATGGACCAAAGGAAGATTTTGTGATGGAGCATAAAAACTACAAGTGAATTTAAATTTGAATTTAAGATCAATAGGCACGTTTGAGTCCAAAACAGCAGCTCACCAGCTGTTTTCTACATTTTTGTATCTAAAACATGTTGCAAGGTTCATACATGTGCTGAAAATCCACAGCTGGTTGATGTCCTGCTTTAAAAAAATGTGTTGTTTGCTACAAACAGAGAGACTAAAGAAAAATGCCCCTTGTTCGGGCTTAGAGGTAAAATGTTGGAATGCAGTAACAGCACACATAAGGAGCATCCCTCCTGTGTTGGAGTGGTGAGTCGAGGGCTTAAAGTGGCTTCACGACATGGCAGAAGATGGCGAGAAAAGGACTCTCCAGGATTCTCCCTTTTTTAGAGACGGCACAGATTGAGATTCATTCGAAAAAGGAAGCTAACCCCCCCTTTTTTTTTGCCTCCAGTTGGAGCGGGAGCTGGAGGTGTGTGAGAAGGAGAGCGCCGAGCTGCAGGAATACGCCAACTCAGTTCTCCAGCAAATCGCAGACTACTGCCCTGACATTCTGGAGCAGGTCGTCAACGCGCTGGAGGAGTCCTGCTGACAACCCCGACCTCAAACCAGGCTGAGCCCAGGCAGTCCCTACCTCCAACCGGAACGAAAGAGAGAGTTTGGGCATTATCGCTGATTTTCTCGGGCTCTCCTCTCCGTCCCCCTCACCTACCCCGCCGCATTCTCCCAGGATTCACCAGTGCTTTCCTGTCCCTCATAACCGCTCTGTCAGATCTGAGAAATCTACTTAGTAACGTTCACAAAAGAAATATGGCACTTAAAACAGAAAACATCAGACTCTGAGCAGAACCAAATGCAGGAGATGAGCTATAGGACGGCAGATCAGAGAGAAAGTGGCAAATGGAGGTTTTTAACTGCAGTGCACGCCGTCCTGAAGTATACTGCCAACCTTCCAGCCAGCTCTGCAAAGCCTCACCCAGAGCAGGAAGTACCTGATTAGGAACTGTTTTTGTTTTTTCCCTCAGTCTCCTTCAGCAAACCTTTTTTCAAGTTTAGAGACACATTTACACTTTCTATGGGACAGGAAAGCACTTGAGGTCTTGGAGAACTGGGGAGCTGCTACATCCAGAGGGGGCAGAGGGGAGCCGAGTTTGGACAGACCTGGAGCCACGTCAACGCTTGTTTTCTATTTAAGTCAGCAGGAAGGCTTTCCGCACGCCACCTTTTAACCAAATGTGTTCAGTGAGCTCCCAGTGTGGCTGGGATCGGGTCACAGGTACGTTTCTGTGTGCCACGCTCAGCGGCCGGGTCGCTGGCATTAGAGGGGGATCAGAGCTCAGATTTCAGTTCCCATGTTCTCAGAGAGAGGGGGGGTTAAAAAAAAAGAAAAAAAAGACGTATTCATTTCTAAATGTTTTGCACACGGCGTCCAATTCTTTATGAGGTATGCAATGTTTCTTTTGAGAACGTTCTCGTGGCCTTGGAGCATGCACAGAGATCAGTACTGGACCTAGTGCAGGGACATTTATTCCTCTGTAAAACTGGTGCTAAGGCATGATGTAAGAATTTTCAACTGGTCTTCATCCAAAGTTTCTATAGATGTTACTTGCAGCCCGGCAGATCTTGTCGACCGAAGAGCACAAGTGATGCCCTTTATTTCTCGTACTTTCAGGTCGCTCACAAGTGACGCCTCCGTTGGTGTTTTATTTTTAAATCTTCAGGGCTGAGGTTTTTAATTACTAAGTGCATCTACATTTACAGGAACTGAAAGTCACTTTTCAGCCGATAGACTTTTTAGATCAGTTTGTAAATAACGTAATGTTTAACACATACAGTGACTGAATAAAGGTAATTAAGTGGAAGGTGTTGTGCATTCTTTAAAAAAAAAATCATCAAATTTAAGCAGTGCAGTTGTCTTTTGTGTCTAATTTTGTCTTTTTGACAAAATGTGCGTGTGACAGTACTGCCATAACTTGCTGAAAGTAATGTTCTATAGAGATCTATAAATAAATATATATATATATACATATATATATATATATATTATGATATATAAAATGTTTACTGTATCGATATGCATTGAATGTTTGCACAGAATCTCACAGAGCAAGCTTCTTTGAACAAAAAGTAAATGTTCTCTGCAGAAACTGGAAAGAAGTGTAAAAAACAAACAAAAAAACAATGTGTCAAAATAACGTGTGAACTGCAAACGTGTCCAAACTGTGACTGTGTGATGGGAGAACAGTTTTTTTCTTGCATTTGTTTCTAAAGATCCTTTTTTTAAAATAAATATATAGTCACCAAATGGTGACGTCCTGTTATCCCCAGGTTCCCATGTTGTCTTTACTTTTCTTTGGTTGGTGGGTTTTTTTGTGAGCCTGAAGGCTGAAAACGAGCCTCCGACCATCCGGATCCTCGGATTGAAAAGCGAACTCTGCTGGTGTTTGAGGCGGATGGTCGGACGCTTCTTTTTGTGCTTCTCAGTCAAACTGAGCAGGACCCGTTTCTAGATTCTAGAGGGGTTTAGCTCTCCCTTGTGGGGCCTGCTCGTCGCTGCCTTTGCCTTAACGCACGCTCATCTGTTCTGTCAGCGCTTCAGTGTGGAACACAGCTGACTAAAGGGGCTTCAGTCAATTTCATGTTGTTTCTATTTGGCATTTCTGTAAGATGTACTGCCTTCTGTGTGTTCATGTTAAAAACCGAGCTGTTCTCACACGAGAACAAAACAGTCATTTGAATTTATGTATGTAAATAAATCATGAGCCTTGTTTTCTTGTCTGGATTTTCTTTTTGTTGGAAAAAGTAACTCTGGATCACGTTCTGAGCCATTGGATACTGTAATTCCTGGAAATAAGCTTTTGGTCAGGCCAGAAAGACTCAACTTAAAATCCACCCACGTGGAGCCTGTGGATAATTTAGAATTCAACTAAAGCCTAGACGGATGCACATTTTGGGAAATTGAGAAAACACAAAATCTCCCTGGGGGAGGAAAAAAATAAAAATTCCTGGATTGCTGCTGTCAGAAACAAACCAATGAAAGAGAATGGTTAAGAAGTACATCCTTACACATATTAGGAAAACGATCACTCAAAACACTGCAAATTAAACAAAGCCGGAACATATTTAGAATCTTTAATCATAAATATCAGCTACTGTATGAATATAAAACATCTTAAATTACTGCTTTTTTTAGACAAATACTCTGGCATTATCGCTGGAAGCTCTTTAGGTGAAAAAAACCACCCACTAAGGAACAGTTAAGTATTGCATATAGCCGCTGAAGCTGTTCATTACCACACTTTTCTGTAGCTGTGTTGATGGACTTTTGACAATTTTGAGTACTAACCAATACATAAATTACTTCCTCTGGAATATAAGACAAAAGCCAACTGTACATACGTAAACAAAGACAGACAGGAGTGATCCACCCACTTCAATTTGAAGTACAATTTTCGTCAGAAACAGTCAGTCATTCAATACAAAGCAAATATAGGTTACACGGGTATAAAAATATTCACCCCAAAAGCAAAAAAAAACAACTAAGCTTAAATCAAAGAAATCTCCAGCCTTTCTGCAATTAATCAAATTGCTTAGTTATCATTATGAAATGCAAAATCTATAGGTACGCAAGTTACAAAAATATACAATCTACTCTAATATTCAGCGACTGTAGGCACTCCTGTGTTGGAGGGGTGAGGTAGCTAGACAGTAAGAACTGTACACAGGCTGCGATTTAACAAAACGGGGCACGAGACTGAAACTAAGCGGAGTGAGAGGGAAGCATTGCAGCAGAGGTTAACGAAATATTCCAGTGGGTCTTCTCTCCTGGCCCCCTCAGTCACACGGAGGGACGGTAAAACAAAGGCTGGACGCAGGCGGTCCCCTCTCATCCGACAGCCGGGCACTTCACAGGTGAGGCGTGTGTGTGTGTGTGTAGGCGCACGGGCCGCCGTGTCACCTCACTCTCTCGCTCTCCGTCATCTGCCACAGTCCCAGGTTCAGCACTTTAAGGCACGGGAGCTGCGTTATCCGCTCCAGGCCCCTCTTGGTGATCTTGGTGCAGCCGTACAGGTCGATGCCGGTCAGCTGCGTCAGGTGGTCGGCTATCAGCTCCAGCCCCTTGTCGGTGATGCGCACGCACTGGCCGATGTTCAGAGTCTTGAGCTCGTGCATCTGGCGCACCATTCTGTTGATGCCGTCGTCGCTGATGTGACAGGAGCACAGGGACAGGGACTTCAGCTGATACAGGCCCTGGGCGATGTAGGCCAGGCTCTGGTCCCCGATCTTGTCGCAGAAGGACACGTCCAGCCCGGACAGGCGGAGGGAGCCCATGGCCAGGTGCATGATGCCCGTGTCGCTGATGTTGTCGCAGGAGCGCAGGTTGAGGCTGCACAGGTGGGTCATGTGCGACAGGTGGATCATTCCCGCGTCCGAAATCCCCCCGCAGAAGCTCAGGTTGAGCACCTTGAGCTTGTTCAGGCCCTTGGAGACGTGCTTGAGCGAGAGGTCGGTCAGCTTCTGGCAGTCCTGCAGAGTGAGTTTCTCCAGGGACAGGCAGCCCTCCGCCGCGCTGCGGGTCATCCCGGACAGGTGACCGATGCCCACGTCGGACACGTGCCGGCAGCTGCGCAGGTTGAGGCTTTTGAGCCCGTGCAAGCCCCAGGCCACCAGCAACAGGCCCGTGTTGGTGATGTTGCTGCAGCCCCCGAGCTCAAGCACCTCCAGGTTTTTGAGGTACTGGGCGATCCTGCCCAGGCTGGAGTCGGTGATCTGCTTACACAGGCTGAGGTTCAGCACTCGGAGGGACGGGATGTCCTGCACAAAGGCATGTCCGAGGCCATTGTCCGTGAGGTTGAAGCACCCACACAGGTTGAGGCTCTCGATGTGGGGCATCCCCTGAATCACGTAGCTCAGACTTCGCCTCAGGCTGAGAATCTGGATTTTCTTGATGCCCCTGGCCTGCAGACTGGGGAACAGAGACGGGTTGGCTCGTCGCAGATGGAGCTTGGCTTCCACCCCCCTCCACACAGACTTGTGGTAGGACGCGTCCCTCCAGGCCGCGCACACTTGGGCTACCCTCCCTTTGTCTTTTACGTCCAAGTAGCTGAAAATAATGGCCAGTATTTCCGGGAAAAGGCACGAAATGTGTGTTTCCATTTCAAACATAATTGCGGGACGACCCTGTTTAGCAGCAGAGGTAGCCTATGAGCGACAAAACCGTCCGGTTAGCTCCCCACAAACTGCTACTGAAGTTACGGTCTGGCCCGGCAACGTTAGCTTGCGTGAGCTAGCATACGTACAAGCTAACTATAGCTAATTAGCTTTGTGAATAACGTAACGAAAAACGTCCCATCTCCTTTTATGGTGTGATAAAACAAAGGAAACGTCCGAAACAACGACAAATAACCGCTCAGTCTTTATGTTGACGAGGTGAACGCAGTCCATGAAACTAAAATCGAAATATTTATCTAGCAAGCTAGGCTAACAGCAGCAAGCGGCGCCTGCTAGCTGTCCAAAGTTGAGAGCTCCAAAGCCGCTGCGCTTCCTCGTCCAAAACAACTTATTCTTCAGTCATGACCATCTCAACTTTGTGAAAATTGTCCCAGTATATAGAAAACTTAAATTCCAGGGCTGTTTTTTCCGCATAAAGATAGTTCTTTTATCTTCTGTAGCATTTCCAGCGGCACTGGAGCATCCCGGTTCTTCAATAATGAATGCTATGGCCCCGGCCCAGCCAGCGGCTCCTAGTGGAAGCTGTAAACATCGTTACGCAGATGTCACTTAACGGTCGTTTTACAAGGATTCGTTTAAAAAGCATTTCAACAACAAATAGGAAGATTGCGTGTGCATTTTGTTTAAAGGACGAAATTAAGTTATGTTCAGAAGACCAAATCTCCCCTCCCCCTTTTTTTAATATTTAAATATCGTAAATAACGGACATTACTCCGTGGGGAGATGGATACCTATGGCAATTTGCTAATTACCTCCAATTTTTTATTCTGCAGTTTTACCACAAACTAATAACAGCAGGTTATTTAAATTGAAGTCAGAAAGTGCTGGTTACAGCAAGCGATTTAAGATATTAAACATACTCTCAGTACAATCCATTTACAGTAACCAACAGAGGTAGTTTTTCTGAGAAAGTCAATGAACTTAACAGCAGATATGCAGAAAATGATTAAATAAATCTGATAAAAGCAAAACAGGACAAAAAGAATTCAGCCACTGCTTATAGTAAGCAATAAGACCAGTTTTAAAGGATGTTTTATAACTTTTTAGGAGCATGATGCCATGCTTTTTATGAAGCATGGTATCATAAATAAAAACAGTCTGTCATTTTGAGTTTCTTAAGATCACCTTACAGAGAATCTCCTTTGGTCTTGAGCACTACTGAGTGTAAATGTCTCCAACCTGGCAGCAAGCTACAGTTACCAGTTTCTTTCAGTAATAGACCCCTTAAAGTGGTATAAAGAGGGCAGCCTCTGTGAGTCGATGGATTTCAGAGTTCAATCTGTCCGAGGGGAGCTTTAAAGGGGAAAATAGTTTTACCAAGCTTTGAATCCAGAGTAATGAAGAGCTGGAGCCTCAACTTTAATCCTCGCGGGTCCCTGCAGCAGCTCACTCGCGGCCCTGAAACAATAAATATCTACAATTCCTGGCATATTTCAAGGCTCCTGTGCGTGTCTGGGTCTCTGAATCACTCCCAGTCCCCACCTCTAACCTCTGTGTTGTTTCTCACTACACAAACGTCCCAGTATGTTTTATTTCAGCGCTTTTAAAGAAGCTGTCGGAAAGCTGAGCGCACAGTCAGGAGCAGTGGCGCATCATTTGTTTTAGAGCAGCCGGCCTCCGCTGAATAAGTGTAAGTGGCAGTTCTTACTCTGAAGACAGCCTGCGTGCATAATGATGCAGGGTCAAGCGTCATTTACTCCTCTCTGGCAGCGAAGCAAACGACCTGCTTATTTCTATCATGAACCTCTGTCAATGCCTTAAAGCAAAGTTTGAAAAGCACAAAACTACTGTGGAGAAGTCAGTGGGAGTAAAATACCAAAATATGTGTCCATGAACAATGCAGATGGCGTTGTTTAAGATGTGAAGTCTATAGTGAACAATAGGGGCACAGTCAGCAGCAGATGATAATAACTGATTGAGTCAAGTGTCTATGCATGCCAATAAGAAGAAGTGGGTATTTAATTCAAAGTTCTTAAGGCTCAGAGAAGTTCCCTTATAAAAAGTAATGTTGCTTCAAAGCAGCAGCCTCTGAGGAGACATTAACATCTCTCTTTTACCTTAGAGCATTTTGTTGGTTGACCCACATGTTGAAGCTGCAAGGTAATGAATCAAATGTCTGTCTAAGCCTCTGCAAGCCTATTTAGAGCTTTAAAACCAACCATAAAAACGTACAATCAATCCTTTAATGAACAGGAAGCCAGTGGAGTGCAGTGAGATGGCCGTATTTTCTTGATCCAGTTAAAAGACGAGCTGCAGGATAAGACTGATGAGAACCCACAGGAAGAAACGATCTATTCTCGATTAGGAGTTTTTTATCCCGAGTTTCCATTTGTCTTGGTGGTGGGGGCATATGCATCGATTTTTGGGTGCAATTATTTTTTGAAGAGCACAAAGCTTCAAGATTGCCAGGGTCACTGAAGTCATGTTTACCTCCCTGAAAGAAAAATGATTTTAGCCGGAATTAAAGGAGATCAATCAGCTGTCTTAAGTATTGTCTGTTTTCTAACACGATTACGTGTTTCTCTCCTAATGGCTGAGCCGAGTCCGTGGAACTACTGCAGAGGTCCTTGTCAGTGAAATGCAAGTGGTTTAGGTACAGAAGATAACCAAAAACCTCATCCTCAACGCTTGTCTGTTATTCTCAGCTGCACTCCTCCCCCCCAATAATCAAGGTGTTCTTGCAGTCAGTGTTTTGAAGTCAAACAAGTTTGTAGTCAACCTAAGAAAGCAGATGGGAAATTCACTCTCATCAAGGAAAATTTAGATGAAATAGTGGGACAGTCTCCAAACAACCATCATCATATTGTATAAAGAAAAACTACTTTCATGAGCTACTCTTAAACTCACTTTAGCTTTGCTCAGCTCTGACGTTTGGAGTCCAGCAGAGGGTGGTGCTGCTCTGGGATAAGAAAAAAACCCAGAGCCCTTCCACTGATCAATCGTCCCACCTTTAAAACAGTCTTGTGTCTCTACAGTACAAAAATCAGTATAAGTCAAGAAAAGAATAATTTTTCATTGTTTTTCTTTCTGCGCATTGCTGCTCACAGACACTCAGGGTGTAATAGAGCCATTACAAGCACCAAAAGATGAAAGGGTTCGGTTGAAACGAAGTAAATAAAACCTAAAGACGGTAGGAAAGATAGTGGAGGATGGTGATTCCCCTCCCGGCTTCCCCTGTGGCCGGACTTGTCTGCTAATGACCCTGTCTGCTGGCTCACGCAGACAGATGGTGAATTAACTCCAATTAGCCCACTCTCACCAGATCCTCTCTGACAGCTTACCACACACACTCTCACACACACAGTTGTGTTTCTGTCACTTCAGAGGACATTTCATTAATTTACAAAGGAATCACTAACCATTGGAAAATCACGTTCAGCTTATCCTAACATGACATTTAAAAAAGTTGTTTATCCTGAAATTTTATCTGGCCTGACTAATAAACTGTCAAATGCTATGCACGTCCTCACTGTGCAACAAACACTAACACAATAAAACTCGTAAGGACCCAGTTCAAAACCTTACAGCTTTTTAATTTCTGATTTAAGATTGGTATCATTTGTATAATTCTAAATGAGCAGTTGTATTAACATTCACATGGTATTTGATATTCAATTTGAACACAGTTTGAACATAAGAAACACACGCAGATTTTTGTTTAAACCATTTGCTGAACAATAGAATCTGATGAGTAACAATGAGTAACACATTGTCATTGTGGTCAACATATGCGCCGTTTCACACACACAAAACACACACACACACACACACACACACACACACACACACACACACACA